GTCATGGGAATTACTAATCGATTGATAATCCAGAAGGATAGGTCAATAGATATATAGAAAATTCTTTGATCTGTATAATGAGTAACAGAATAGTAATTATTTCTATGTCTGAGCTCTGTGTATATATATGACACATATATGCATACTGGAAGACTTCCCATGCTGTATTCAGTCACATATCATGGATGAATGTTCATCCCACTCCACTCCCCCAAAGGATTAACATTAGCCAGCACGGGATAGGGAAAGCAAACCTAGCAATTCTAATGCCTAAAAACATTTATTCAATTACGTTGATAAATTGTGAAGGGACATTGCTTCAAATGATCACGAAAGAGATTAACAAATGGGAAGGGAGGATTTGTTACTTTGTTTGCCTATTCTCCTTGATATGAAAAGATTTTGTTCCTTAGCTCCAATGTGAGCAACAGCAGTTAGGTAAGACACACAAAATACTAGAAATTGGCTAAAGGATGGAATTGCAAAGATAAGACACTATGTGTTCCCTAGAATCCCCTGTACATATGCTTTTAACAGGTTTCTCTATTCTTTAAAACATTAGTTTTAATTTTAATTAAATTGAATATGCAGCAGAAGGCAGAGAATGACAACTTTCTACTTGACTACACATTTCACATCTTCAGACAACATTTAGTAACTTTTTAATAACAATTTGAATATATTACAGTTAAATATTGTGACTCTTTGTAGACAGCCTTCCAGCAGCATAATCAATTGCCTCTGCTCATCAAAAAATTAATGAATTATTCTTTCATTGAAGATTTTGCCTTCTTATAACAAGACTGTCTTTATAAAAACACCAAAAACAAATGCCTCTCTTGTTCAAGTTTACTTCCATAGCAACCCAAAAAGATGATCTTTTCTGAATAAGGTATTTCAGGAAGATATAGACATTGCTTGAATATTATAGTGATAATTATTTTACAGGAGTAAAATTTTTCATACTATCTTACTATATATCTTTACACATCCCACCCCCACTAGGACATATCAGGTATACCCCTCTGAGTTTAGTTTCAAATCTCTGAAAAGGATATAATCTTAAGAAATTGAAAAGGAATTTAAGTTTCAAATCATAGGACATCATTTTTCTCCATGGGAATAGTTAGAAAATTACATATTAGCAGCACTTCTTTAATAGTCTAAAGAAATAGCTTCTCAAAGCACATAGTGGGCAGCTGACCAGCATGATGATAAATGACATTAAACAAGAGAATGGTCTCAGCCTTCCTAGAGTGCTTTCTACTTAGGTCTTTATAAGACATGAAATAAAAATTCTCAATTGTCTGAGAGGTAGATGCTGAACCCACTTTCCATATGAAACTAAGGTAATTAGATGCTTCACCACAGACTATAAAAATGGTCAACAGCAAAATCAAGATTAGAAGCAATGGTAGGTGTTGTATAGCATGTCAAGCAACAACTTACAGGCCTACACTCCATACAGAATAGCTGATTTGAGTCCTGTCTACTCTGTTCCCAATCCAGCATCCTGCTGATGCAGCGTAAGAGGCAGCATACGATGGGTCCAGTATTTGAGTCCCAGCTATACATGTGGAAGATCTGGACGGAGTTCTGGGCTCCTAGCCGTGGCCTGGCCTAGCTATGGCCTTTGGGTGGGAGATCCCTCTCTTCTTACACCCTTTCTTCCTTTCAAGTGTATTAAAAATAAATAAATAAACATTTCTTTTAAAAAGACGAGAAGCAAGAAAAACTGCTTGCAGCTACATATTCACATCAATGACTAACAGTGCCTTCCATTCCTCCAGCCTGTTTCCTACAACACGCAGAGCTGAGGGAAGATTGAAAATCCATTTAAAGCTGACAGCATGTCAATTCTCCAATTTCAAAACCATGACACCAACATGAAATGATTATAGTGACATCCTCAGACTCAGGAACACAATCTATGTAGAAACCATGTGAGTTATACTTCAGTAACCGAGATTACCACAAGAGCAAAACAATTGAAGAATAGCCAATGCAGTAATGGAAATTCCAACCGCAATCAATATTTCTACTATCATTCTGTACAAAGACATGTTTATGAATATTATTAAAAATAAATTAACAAGCACTTGGCATTGAAATTTAGCTTTCATCTCTGTGGTGGTATGAGCCTTTATATGGATGCTTTTAAATTATGAGGGAATAAATAGCCAGGATAGATGCTGAAAACATTTTCTCTAAGATCTGGAACCACACAAGTATTTTTTTGTTGTTTTTGTTTTATAGCTCCCTACTTCAATATAGGACCAGAAATTTTAGCCAGAACAATTAGGTAAAAAACAATTATAAAAGAAAAAGTCAAAAAAAAAAAAAAGGGAAAGGAGGAAGTCAAACTATACATTTTCCACATCCTTCCAGATGACACAATATTCTGCATACACAAAAACATGTAGACGTCACAAGAGGAATAAAAATTCAGTAAAGTAGCAGTATACAACATTAACATGCAAAAATCAGTAGCATTTATGCACCAATAATGAACTTACTAGCAATTGTTTAATAAGAGCAATCCCACTCATAATCACTATAAAAATACTTTGGAATAAATTTTCTCAAGGATTTGAAAGGCCCCTACAGTGACAATTACAAAATATTAATTAAACAAATTGTAGAACACACACGCACACACACATTAAGATCTCTCATGATCACAGAGAGGGAGATTATTATTATTAAAATGTTCATACAACCCAAAGCAATAGAGATCCAATGCAATGCCCATCAAGACACCAATGATATTATTCACAGAAACAGAAAGAAGATCTTAAATTAATATTGAGTACAAAAGCCCCTGAGTAGCAAAGGCAATCTTGAACTACAAGAACAAAGCTGGAGCCATAATAATATATGATTTCAAGTCACAGCACAGAGTTATTGTAATGAAAACAGCATGCTAGTGGTATAAATACAGATACTTAGACTAATGAAACACAACAGAGATTCCAGAAATGAATCCCAGTGGCTAGAGCTAACTCATTCCCAACAAAAGAACCAAAGTACACACTTGAGAGAGCACAGTCTCTTCCATAGATGGTGCTGGCAAAACTGCATGCTCATTTGCAGATGGCTAAAGCCAGGTCCTCTTTATTGCTCACTCTATATAAAAGTTGATTCAAAATAGATCAAAATTGTAGATGGAAAATTAGAAACTATAAACTAGTAGAAGAAAAAAAAATAGAAGAAGGTTAGGACATTAATGTAAGCATAAATTTGGGGTAAGATCTCAAAGATTATAGGCAACAAAACTAAAGCTAGATGCATGGGATTGTATCAAACTTAAAACCTTCGCTCAGCAAAAAAATTAAAAAAAAATAGCGAAAAGAATGAAGAAACAAACAATGGAATGGAGAAAATATTTGGACTACACATCTGACAAGTAATTAGTAACCAGAATCTGTTAGAAATGTTTTAAAACAACAAAGAATCAAATAATCCAGTGAGTAGATAATTGGACAAAAAGATCTAGATAGTCATTTCACAAAGTAACAAGCACAAAAATACAAAAAAATATTCAGCACACAAAAAAATGGCCAACAAAAATATATTCAATATCAGGGGCATCAGTGAGATACCTTTGCAAACTGCAATGATATATCATCTTGTTTCAGTTGGAATGAACAAAAAATAGCAAAGGCTAGTGAAGACATGGAAAAGAAACTTTATACTTCATTGGTGGGAATGTGAATTGGCACAAGCAGTGTGGAGGACAGTATGGGGGCTGCTCAGAAAACTATAAATAAATCTACCATACAGTTTAGCCATTCTACTCCTAGGAAGGTACTCAAGGAAAATAAAACGAGCACATGAAAAAGGCAACTATATTCCCAGGTCCACTACAGCACAATTTGCAACAGTGAAGATATGGATTCAACCTTTCAACAGATGGATGTGGCATACAACGGAATATTATTCTGTCATATCAGCTTCCTGAGGCCAGCACTGTGGTGCAGAGTTAGATCGTCATCTATAATGTAGGCCTCCCCTGTGGGCACTAACTTGACTCCTGAGTGCCCTACTTCTAATCCAGCTCCCTGATAATGTGCCTGAAAAGGCAGTAGAAATTAACCCAAGCAGTTGTGCCCCTGTCACCCATTTGGGAGGCCTAAATGGAGCTCCAGGCCCATTCAGGTTTTGAACTGGCCCACTCCCAGCTGTTATTGCCATTTGGAGAATGAGGTAGTGGGTAGAAGGTTCTCTCTCTCTCTCTCTCTTGTTCTCTCAACTGTGCCTCTGAAATGAATTAGTAAATCTTAAAACAAAAAGAATGAATTTCTGACATTTGCAGCAGAATGTATGGAACAGGAAGTCATTATGTTAAGTGATGCAAGCCGTAAACACACACAGAAAACAAATACCACATGTTCTTTCTCATATGTGGAGATTTAAGAAAATCTAAACCTGCACTAGTGATTATTAGATGCTGGGAAGGATGTGGGTGGAATGGATAATGGAAAACATGACACAATTAGAAGTAATCAGCTCTAGTGTACCACAGCACAGTGGGGTGACTGTTGCTCACAAAAATCTATTACATTCTGATTAAGGAACTGAAAGAGAAGAGCTAGTCCGGCTCTAACCATGAGCTAGATAAACGGAAATGCAAATGGCCTGATCTGATCACTTTAGACTGTATACAACTACTGAAACATTGCATAACAATCCATTAACATGTACAATTCTTACACGGTAATTAAACTGTTACATGATTTAAAGTATCAGGCAGCAATAAGTGTGATATAGTTTTGCTATAGATTATATTGTGCACATAGCCTTCTAGAAAACCTCACTCACTGTAACTTTTCTCAAATACATTAAATACTACAGAACATTTGCTTGTTTTCCCTAGGTAGTATTAGCCAAATAAACAAGATAGCCAGAGAACAAATACACTTGTGCAGGAATGTTTTGTGCAAAACAATTGTACTGCCCCTCCAGGTAGCAAGGAAAATGTCCATTCATGTCAACAGCAGTTACTGAGTGAGTAGCCAGTGTATTAAGGAGACAGTAAGGTAGAGGACACCGAGCGTTATCCAGTTTATCCTTGTGATGGGTGGCCTGCTGTTACCTGTCACATGGAGGATGGCCTGGGAAGAGAGAGCTCCACTGGAATTTTGGGCCCGAGCCACATACAGACCTGCATCTGCCTCGCATACCTTCGGAATGAACACCGAATGCCTTGTCTCCTTGTGTACAACCTGCAAGTGCTCATCTGCAGACAGTTTCTGGCCCTTCTTGTACCTGAAGTAGAGAGTCGGTTTTACAGTCAGAAAGACAGTCGATTTGCATAATTCCCAAGTGCTAAAAACAATGGCCCAGAGCCCCATAACCATGGCAGCACTCACTAGTGTCAGTAGGGATTTTGCTGCTTCCAGGGGGCCTATTTGTCACCCAGGCAGAGGCTGGCACTGGCAGCAAGTGTGACTTGCTCAGACCGTGGATTTAGAAACTGAATTTTTTGATAACACTTAACAGTTAGAATTTTGCATTTGGAAATTCAGATTCCAGCTACTCTTCAAAAACAAGACCATCTGGACACATGGGGCTAGTATTTGCTTATGGCAACAATTACCCAGAGTGTAAAAACGCACACTTACAACTGGTCTGCTTCACTCTTCCGACAGCTATGAAATGGCAGCTGGTAACTCCCTGGAATCTGTACTGGAGGGAGACTCGCCTGCCCCAGTATGTCCATGCCACAAGATTCCCACCACAGTTCCAAAGTGCTATGGTAAGCAAGCTACCTGAACACCACTTCCTGGGGTAACATGCTCATTCGATTGTTGTGAATGAACTGAATTAACCTAACTACCTTTGAAAAGGTATTTATACGAGTGGATTTTGATTGTCACGGACATCAAAAGTTTACTATGAATGAGAGCACTGATCTGCTTTTAATAAAGCAAATACTTTATTTTGTATATTCTAGATTCTATTTCTATATACCCATGATTCCATATAAGAACTTACAGCAAACAAAAATGATTCCCTGTCCTCACTGCCTAAGTGATTTTTTATTTTTCTTTGCATTTTAAGAACGATCCCATAATAAGTTATCTATTGTTAATTGCCAAACTAGGTAGAATTCCAACTTAATTTTTTTTCACAGTGCTTGAGCAGCTTTTCAATGATACATACTAACCAAGTTGCTTCTATGTGTGAGCAAAAATAAGAAACACTTCAGACAACATTTTTCTTTGAGGTGAACTGATATTTAATTATGCATTAAATATCTTTTCAATTCATAAATAAAACTTTCTGATCTGTAAAAAACAAAAACAAAAACATGCAGTTGGGAAAAAAAACAAAATAAAACAAATTGTATGTCTGCATTCCAGCACATGTGCTGCTGCTTTTATAATTTGGGAAAACACTTTTTTCCCATAATTTCTTTAAGTAATTAATTCACTTTGAATATCATCAATCAGCACACACCATGATTGCAATTTATAAGTATTTTATAGCCACACTCTCACATACTCATAAATCTATTCTCAAATGAATTTACTTAAGTACAAAAAAAGAATGCCTAAGTGTTTCAAAGTAATGCTCCATTGAAAAAGCCGGGACTGTTTTTGTTATGACTAACAGTACTGAAAGCAATATACACTTTACTTTTACCAAAACAAATAGGCTAGAAAATGAAGTATGCAGAGTGAAATCATGATCTTCACAGCTCAGCTATTGCACCACCTTTCCAAAATGGGTTTATTACCTGTTACCTGGAATAACTGTGAAAGAATTATTTTATACCACTCGTCACGTTGAAGAAATTTATAAAAAGAAATCTTAGTAAACCAAACAATTATTAAGAAGGGTGGCAAGTGTAACACTGTTGAAAAGATGGAAAAGATGAAATTGCTAAATGAAAGGGGAAAACTCAAATTCTTGTGCTTTGTTGTACATGGAAGGTGAAATCAAGAAATTTCCAGGCTTCTGTAGAAAGAGACAAGGGGAAAGAATTGCAAGCCACTCTTTAAAATTGTGGAATGTTGAACAACAAAGGGAAATAAAAACAAGCATAATCAACTTACAGTACTTTTGGAGTTTGTTAAATTATGATCTTAGATGGCTACTTATTTCTTGGAGATATTAGCCATGCTGTTACTAAAGAGAGTTGGGGTGTGTGAGTGAGAATCATGCAGAACTGCAGTGCCATAGAATGTTAGCCAGCTAACCCTAAACCTTTATATTAGTACACACAAAATGATTTTTTCTTAGAGGTTCTATGTGTTTCTATTTATGGTTTGTCATTGTAGGCTACCCACCATGTCAGTGTAGGCTCTGGAAATCCTGTTACTTCAACTTCCAAAGTCACTGGAGAACCTTCCACAACAGTTACATTAGACAGGAGCCTGGAGAAGTTAGGAGCCTGGCCAGCTAGGCTGACCACGTGGTTCTTTGCTGCTGTGCTTCTAACTTCTTCCTGGGGAACCACTTGCCTCTGACATCCCCGGCTGGAGCTGGATTGAAAGCTGAGGCTGGAGGTCGTGTCAGAGGCAGCATGCAGCTGCTCTGGTTCTTGGGTTTTAGTGCCGTTATTATCAGCATGCATCTGACCCACACTTCCCTGAGCCTGAGGGTGCTGCTGGGAGGCCCTCTCATGCACTTCCCTTGGCATGCTTTCAGGATGCTTAGCGTGGGATTTGTACAAAGCAACACTCTTTTCCAGAGATCTTCCTGAGGTTACAGGGGGCTCAGATTTGAACTGGGGACCAGGCTTGTCAAAATGACTTGAAAATGTTGCACCCTTATCATTGCATGCATCAGCAAAAGCAGCAGGTGGAGGAAGAACAGATTCCTGGGTCTGCCCAGGACTTCTGGCCCCTGTCTGCATCTGACAGCTGCTGATGGGAAGGCTGGGGGAATGAAGGCCATGGGGCTCCTCCACCTCCATGTCAGAGGGCACAAGGGGGGACTCTGGGCTTCTCGGGAGTGGGGGCAAGGAGATGTCATCAGGCGAGACACACTCATATTCTTCTCCCGACGGCACATCCTCAGGCAGGGGGAGGCCGTGGAGGCCACCTTCTTTGGCGGAGGACAGCTGCTCCAGGTGCTGTGGAAGCTTCTCTTCCCCTGTGTTGTCCACGGCCCAAACATCAGCCACTTGCACATGATCCTTTAAGAGAGAAAACCCATGGTGGTATTAGTGCTTTTCTTTTCCCAGGTTCCAACAAGAGCGAAACACAGCAGCAGACAACTAGAGGAAACAAACAGGAGATAAAACTTACAGGCTGCCACAAGAGTTGTAGGGTCTGGCACCGATGGGCCATCTCTGCTGACAACAGTCCCATCACCCCACTAAGAAACCTGTTCAACTGACCTCAAGTCTGTGAGGGCAAAGTGTCAGATCTTGTGAGTCACACTGGAGGAAGCCCTTGTTTTCTTCCGTCATGGTGGGGTTGGAATGGATCAATGCCATGACCTGGGGAACACCCTCCACCAGACATTCTGTTTCCTTTGTGACTGTATTCCATGTGACTATAGTTCCCAAACAATGGAATTTCTCCTAGTCTTTGTTAGGTAGTCTCTTGTATCCTCCCAGAATAACCTGTCTTCTCTTTCAAGAAACCCTTTCTTTTAAAAAAAAAAGCTAAAAAATACATAAACTGAATTAACCATTTTAAAGTATACAGTTCGTGACATTAAGCGCATGGACACTGTTGTGTGACCACCTGCCTCTAGAACCTTTTTCAATGTCCCAAACTGAATCCCTGGGTCCATTAAACACTGACTTCCCATTCACCTTCGTCCCATAGCCTGACACATTTTCTCCCCCAATTGACTACTTTCTCCCCTAAATTTGGCAACTCCAGGTCCTGCCTAAAGAAAGCCATTCTTCACTCCAGATTGTCTTTTCCTTCATAAAGTCCTTCCGTTTCTTTTTTCTTTGATTGAAAAAAATCTTACTAAGCAACCAGTTTATGCTAGGTCCATGGTAGGTGTCAGAAGAATAAAATAGTAAAAGTAGTTACATTCTTTACACATGGAGATGATAGTCCAGTTGGGAAAGTAGATATTAATGGAACAATCACACATCATCTCCCTTCACCAGAGATCATGTCTCTATGCAACAGAGGACCACGTACCACTTATCTGTGTCCCACACAGAATGCAGACACTGACGGGAACCAAGAATGGCACAATTTCGACCCACTAGTTCATCCATTTATGGTTTGAAAAGAGGCTTAAATGTCCTTTCTGCCACAGTCTCAGAGGAAGAATGAAACACAAAGATGCCTCATTAACTTGCTTCTTTTATGGTTTCTTTCTGTTTCTTTTATTAGCATTCTGAGGCATTGTTACTTAAATAGCATGCATTGATTTTTGTCCATCAGCTGCTACATGAACATAGGAAAATTACATCTTGGCTTCACTTTGAGTTTTGAACTGCTGCCCTTTGGCTTGCTTTTCACATAAACTTTATAAGTGATATTTGAGATCAATGTTTTCAGGTTGAAGAGTGGAAGCAAAATGATGTTCTACTATACCTAAGAGATGACTTGTCTGCAGAGAAAATGCAAACTCGGCTTAGAGCAAGTGCTTTCCATCAACCATTTAGTAGAAGTTTAAAAGTTGGGAATAACACCCAACACTTCTTATAAGTCCTGTGTGTGTGTGTGTGTGTGTGTGTGTGTGTGTGTGTGTGTTTATATCAACTACATGCCAAGTGGGAATGCTGCATCTTCCTTATGCTGTCCTACCATTGCTCAGCTTGCCCTTCCTTGAGATCTCTTTCTGAAAATACAGTTTTCATTTTCTTTCTCTTTGGAACTTTGATTCCAAGCACCTATTCAACCTAAGAATTTCTTCTACAGCATTCTGTTAGCCTCTATTTAAGAGATTCTGTAAATACGTGCTTCCTTTGGGACTTTTATGTTTTCCTGTGTTAAAGACTGTCTTCCTACATTTAACAAACATCTGCCTTCCCACAGCTCCTTCCAGTGCTTCTCCATCCGCCCCCTGGAGAGACACAGAAGCAGCTAATTGCTTTCCTACTTTAACAACTCTTGAAATGAGTGGAGAATTGGTCCTATAATTGGACTGTTTTGTTTGTCCCAAATACCTCCTGCTCCCCTTCTGCCTCAGCTCCTGGAAGCTTCATCATTGACTCACCTTCTGGGAGACCTGATTCCTACTGGACAATAAAGTTCCTCACTAGATGCAGGGGTGCTGGATGGTCATCCTGAGCAGACCATTCACTAATGAACCTGTGTCTCCTTCCACAAGAGAAAGGTTTTGAAAGTGCCTTAACTTTTACTCCAAGATTAGGGAAGAAACTGGAATGAAGTTCCAAGCCATTATCCCCACTTAGTCCCTACTGGGGAGGAACTGGTTCATCTAAGTGAAGTCTTAGAATTAGGAACATAGGGTGGTGAGCTCTGTCTCTCTGAGGCCCTCTCCTTTGATTTGTCTTCCACACACAGGGCACGCCTGGAACAATTCTGAGCCTGTAAAGCGCTGTAGGGTATGGCTGTGGTTATCTGTGCTACCATGTGTTGGAGTAGCAAGTCTTAGAGCAAGCACAACTACTTGGGAATGTTTTCATTTGATTCTTCTTCTTTTTTAACCTAGTACACTCCTTCAAATACAGAAGTAGTTTTCACAGAAAATCAAACTATCAGACAATTTCTACTAACAATAACAGAGATAATTTTCTCAAGTCTTTTTTTGGAAAACATTTTAAGTTATTAATTCATGCCCTCCCTCAAAATTGGTTTGTAAAATTTATTTACTATTCAGATAGGAAGTAATCAATATAATTGTCATCTCCTTGATTTATAGTATACATTTTTCTTAAAGTGGTTGTATAGTTTTTATTATTATTTTTGTAAGAAACACAGGGAACCATTCATTAAGTTCTTAGTCAATTAAAATGTTCTAATTCCTCAGTCCATTAACACCAATGATTACAGTATCTACTGCAGAGTGTAGAGAAAAGCCAGACATCTCCCTAAGGCAGGTTATCTTCCAGGTTAACATTGATGAACTACTTAACACTCCCGTGTATAACTGTAACTTTACCAAGATGTCACTCAAGTGACTTTCTGAAATTACAACACACTACGCCTGTGGACCCATTAACTTAACCATCTTTCATGCAAAAATTTTAATTTTAATTTTACTTCAAGTAAACTCATTTGCCTCCTGGAACTGCAGTCCATCTCCTCAAATAAGCTCTTAAGTTTTTAAGGAATTACACATTACTATAGAATGGCTTTTAAAAATCACCCAGGAGTTGGCATTGTGGCTTGGTATATTAAGGTAATACCTATGATGAAAACATCACATATGTTTGCTGGTTGAAGTGCTGGCCGCTCCCCTTTTAATCCAGCTCCCTTCCTGGGAAGGCAGCAGAGAATGGTCCAACATTTGGGCTCCTTAACCCACATTGGGAAACCAGGAAGAAGCTTCTGGCTTTGGTCTAGCCCAGTCCCTGGATGTTGAGACCATTTGGGGAGTGAACCAGAGGATAGAAGATCTGTCTGTGTTTCCTGATATTTCCAATTCTGCCTTTCAAATAAATACATCTTTAAAAAATCAGAGTTTTGTAGATCTATCTAGGTTTTGATGATGAAAGGAATGTTCCAGTGCACATACATACTATTTATATTCCTCCCTCCATAACTCTGAATCATGAGATGTTTACTTTCAGATAAAAAGTGCCTTATTTGGAACAAACAAGTCTGGATATCTCAATACAGATGGAGAACATGTGTGATAGTCTGATAAGTTCTAACAAAACTATTGGAAAATTCTGACCTATTTCACCAAAACATATCTCAGCTTCCTTCTGTGATTCCCATGGCTGTTTCTGTCTTTTTGCCAATGCCTTTTCTTTGCTTAACTTCTAAACATATGAATAATACAGTCTTTAAATTCCCTTATTTTCTTTATATAATTTTCTCCCTCACAGATTGCATCTATATTTTTATCTTCTGATCAATAACTGTCTGATTGATCCCACAAATGTAACCTTTAGTCTTTGTCGGGATTTCCAAACTTTCATTTCTGCTGATCGTCATAATCATTTGGATTTTCAGTTACTGCTATGTTGGCAGACAAAGTATATAGAAGGAAGAACACAAGAATATTTTACCATCTCTCCAATTAATTGGTCAGAACTAGTTCTCAAAGTTCATAGAATGGTGAAGCACCAACATCATAAATTTAAAGGCTACTACAAGACTTTACCTTCTAAAATACCTTCATAACAAATAGCCTTACTTGAGGATAATTAAGATTTAAGGAGATTATTGTAAACTAGGATGACATTGACTACCAGAGTTAGTCTAATGCAAAGCATTCCTGCAGTAGGCTTTTAGTGGGGAACCTTGAGCAGCCAACAGGTGATTTGGTACCTTTGGACACTCGGCATGGGCAGAGTAAAAGGGAAGGGAAAGGACATGTGGTTTTAAAAAAAAAGAAGAAGAATGAATTTTTTCCTTCCAGTTTCCAAATCAAGGGTCTCCGGAAAGTTTCCTCCCTCCTGCCAAAGACTGTCCCCTCCTTAGTCTGATGGGAGCACCCCACTGCATCGTGAAACACACAAATGCTTCCACAGAACTGCTTTGTGAATGCTCACATGCAATGAACAGCAAACAGAAAGGTTTGACATAGCAAGCTACAGTCTCATGGTAGCTTATTTATGTGCAACAGTTTTTTAGAGCTCCCTTCTGGTATTGCAGAAAAGGGACATGGAAGAAATTCAAGAAAATTTGGTCTTTTTCATGTGTGTGACTTTGTGGAATGAAAATTATCTCATCAGAGAATAGATTATTGTTAATTTCCTTTTTAACACTACAATGCTCCAACTTTAGATATTGACATCAAACACTAACTCGTTTCTTGACTTTAAGTGAATCTCTTCACATTCTGTATCTCTATTTTTTTTTTAAGATTTATTTATTTTTATTGGAAAGGCAGATTTACACAGAGAAATATTTTCCATCCACTGGTTCATTCCCCAAGTAGCTGTAATAGCCAGTGTATTTTCACTTAGTCTCAGGAATTTCCAGGTATTCCTGGCTTTAGCTTCAGCACCCACCTTGGGGATAAAAGCATCTCATTTGTCAGCCAGGCTGTGTTCATGGTATGTTCTGAGTTGCCTAATTCCACCTGCTGCATTTTGGGTCAGGCAAACAAGAAGCACATTGCTATCTCCAGGATAAATGTCCTATTTACACAAACCTATTTTTGTAACACTTCTGTGGAACTGGTCTTTCTTAATAATTTTCTGAGGAAGGTTAACATCACTTAGAGTTTCAGAAATGAGTACAGGAATTCTTAGAAAAGCCTTGACTTGGCGCTTCTTGTCGTCTGCCCACATAGTGTTTTGAGGAATCATTATATCTGACCTATATATAAATAATAGAGAAAATAAAAGAGGGCAAATGTGAATGATCTGCTTAAAAGTAAGGACTCCTGCCACCCTCTCATTATGCTGTCGGTACTGACTGTGCCAGAACATGTATGTGAAACGCTGCCAAAGAGAATTCTTGACAGCTTTAATTGTGGACCTTCACCTTCATACTAAATGATTGATGATCTGCTTTTTAAATTCATATTAAGATAAAAGATTTTTTTATGAAAGCAGATTTTTTAAAAAATTTAAAGCAATCCGGGCCTTCAGCAAGAAAAGAAATGAAAACAAGAAAAATATTTTCATTAAGTATAAATGAGTATGTTTTCTTAGGTAGTCATAATTTTGTTTTAATATATCTTCTAGTAAATGTACCTGGAAAATGCTGATGATTAAATAGAATTAATACTATGATGTTTGATTTAGAACTTCTAGAAACTTAGAAAACATGTAATATGTTCAATAACATTTTTCAGCATTTTCAAAAGATTTTATTTTAAAGGCAGAATGAAAAGGCAGAAAGAGGGAAGGAGGGAGGGAGAGAGAGAAAATGAGATCAATTAAGTTTCCCTCATCTGATGCACTTCACAAATGACTGTAACAGTTGAGCTGAAGCCAGAGCATGGAATTCCATCCATGGCTCCCATATGTGTGGTTGGGCCCAGGTACTTGGGCCATCGTCTGTTTTATTCCCAGGCATATCATCATGGATCTAGTTTAGAAACAGAACAGTCAGCCCAGGTGGTAGCCTCACCTGTTTCACCTTGAAACTTGGCTCCTATTGTTCATCATTCTAACCAACTATTCTTATTCTCAGTCAGCAGTGACCTTACTCCCCAGGAGAAATTTGGAAATGTCTATAGGTGTTTTGAAGGCCCTAATTGGTAATGGTGTTGCTTGCATCTATGTGGAAAGGCCAAAGCAGCTGATGCACAGTCCACAATGAAATTTTCTGACCAATACCTTGAGAACGCTAAGGTTGAGAAACCCTGATTTAGAGCAATCAGAGTAATCAAGGAGAATCTAATATGACTAAGACCCAACAAGATGACCAAAGACAGGTAGCTTTACTTTGGCTTGGAAAGGACCAGGATTTAAGTAGTTCATGGCCATACCACAAAATCAAGGAACCTGCTTAAGGGAACTTGCTGATGGGTGTTTCTATAATTGTACTAGACCTTGGGATGGGTTTCATCTGCAGAAAAGAACCTACTGAGTGATCCTGACAACCTCTTAGCAGGAGGTCATATGCACAGAGTGGTGGGGGGGCACAGAGTGGAGCAGGGGGAGAGGAGGTCATATGCACAGAGTGTGGGGGGGTACCCCAGCGTGGAGCAGGGAGACAGGAGGTCATATGCACAGAGTGGGGGGGGTACCCCAGCGTGGAGCAGGGAGACAGGAGGTCATATGCACAGAGTGGGGGGGGGGTACCCCAGCGTGGAGCAGGGAGACAGGAGGTCATATGCACAGAGTGGGGGGGTACCCCAGCGTGGAACAGGGAGACAGGAGATCATATGCACAGAGTAGCAGGGGACCCCAGAGTGGAGCAGAGGGACAGGAGGAGGCTTGTATCCCAGCCCCGAAGACTCCTGGATCCTCACCAAGGACTATCAGTACAGGCACCAAGGGCTATATCCCAACTGCCAAGGAGACCACGGGGAATTGGACTGCCCTTGTAGGCCAAGAACTCTGAGGTCATCCACTCCCTTTCAGATCTCCCACATGGGATGGAAGATGCCCAGATCCTTCCTCACAGGATCTAATGTTACTGGAACAATACCGGGAGCCCTGAGTGAACCTCAGAAATGAAAGAACAGTAAATTCCCTTCAGGACTTGGGAGGGGAGCTTTCTCTGGTCCTTACTTAGCTCCAACTTTGGATCCCCACCCTCTCTTGCAATGACCATCAGGGTCGCTCTGGAGCCACCCCCCACCAAATAAAATTAGATTAGATAGACAGAGACCAATAAGGAAAGCTTAGAACCAGACAGGAAACGGTCAGCTTGGACTCACATATACCTTACTAGGTAGGACACAAAGATCAGTTACTCCTCACTAAGGTATTGAAGATTTCTCTGCACACCCCTCCTAAAACTGTTCTGCGCCTCAACTGTTGACATATGCCTTGTTAGAGTTATAAGCCAGTTTGGACTATCCTAAAATTTGCCAAGTTCAGTAAAAATTATGCTTCAATACTATAAACTGCTAAATATAAAAATGAAAATAGACACGAGACAGCTGAATAGTACCCTATAGCCATTTTAAGGTACAGAGCAGCTGGTTGTGTATAAACTAAAATTGAAATGTCAATGAAGTAATCACGGGATGTGGTTAAGAACTTGCATTTTCTAACATATTGGTTACTCAATATCATGTCAATTAACTCCATAGTGTTGTAAATTGTTGTTGATGTTATGTTGTGGCTTTTCATTGGAAAGGATGATACTCTGCCAGCTCTGCCTTCAGACCAGAGATGGTCTCCCTGAGAAACTGTTGAATTTATCTGGACAATAAGATGCTGGACTCTATGCTTGGTACATGCTTGCAATGAAGGAATCATGATTGGATTTGAACTGTACTACTACAACAAGGTGGAGGAATCCACCATGGGGGGAGGGTACAGGGAGGGGTTGGGGGAATCCCAGAGCCTATGAAACTGTGTCATAAAATGAAATGAAATTAAAAAAAAAGAAGTCCTTAAAAAAAAAGAACCTACTGAAAAATCCTGCAAGAACTCCCTAAACCTCAGTGATAAATGTTTCTCTATGCAATAACTGCAGCAATAAATAAGAATGGGTTTTATTTGTTTGGCTGTTGTCTACCGGTTTTAAATTCAGTTGTTACAAGATCTGCCTTTCATTAACTGAGGAAACTTGAGAGTAATGGTAGCACTATTGTTCCTGTAGCATCCCAGTTGAAATAGGGGGATCAGGCAAACGTGGCAGAGCAAAAAGTCAAGTGCTATTTATAGTCCTGCTTCTATGAATAGGGATAGGCAACCAATGCCAAAAGTTCATAAGGACACTGCAATTTCTGCCATGCTTTTGAAATCATGCTATACACTAACATGTTGTATTTACAGGGTTTGTTCCCTTCTAATTTATCTATAAATGCACAAGGTTTGGGTTAGTTGAAACATTTCTTCAAATACTTTAGGTTATATGTGTTCCTTGTGGATTCTATGCTTCAATGCATGTGCCTAGGAATATAACATTAGAGGCAGATTCAATGGGAAAGTAATGCAATCTATTATCTCATGCACCCAGCTTTTTACAATAGATAAATGATAAAAGTCATAATTTGGCAATGTGACATACAGGGAGAGGCAAATTTGAAGCTACGTTGAATATGAATAGACAAAAAGGATGGAAGATTAATCTCTCCAAGCTTTTAAAACTGAATTTTTTAAATCATAAAAAATTTTAAAAATAAAGGAAAGGCAGTTGCAGGTAGAATAAATGGAAGTGATTAGGGGGAACACAATGGCACTTGAATGGCTATTTCAATACCACGGCGAGGTGGTAGGGTTCTGACACTCAGTGGGAGGGGCTCACAGGCAAAGAGGAGGAGATGCAAAGGCTAAGTGAAGAGTAGCCAGGAGGAAGGCAGGAGGAAAGTCACAGTGTATTTGCATTCATGATTGGGTTTACACAGATAAAAACACTGCAATTCCCTCCCACCCTTTCATTATCCAAAATACAATGACTGAAAGAAATTCTTGGGCCTGGTGCAATAGGGCAGTGGTTAAAGTCCTTGCCTTGCACACGCCAGGATCCCATATGGGCGCCAGTTCTAATCCTGGCGGCCCTGCTTCCCATCCAGCTCTCTGCTGTGGCATCAGGCAGCAGTCAAGGATGGCCCAAAGCTTTGGGACCCTGCACCTGTGTGGGAGACCTGGAAGAAGCTCCTGGCTCCTGGTTTCAGATTGCCTCAACTCCAGCCTTTGCGGCCACTTAGGAAGTGAATCATTGGAAAGAAGATCTTCCTCTCTGTCTCTCCTCCTCTCTGTATATCTGCCTTTCCAATAAAAATAAATAAATCTTTAAAAAAAAGAAATTTCTAATCAGAAGTGTGAAATAGCTGAGTTTAAATAGCTTTTTTTTTTTTACCTGACTCTTTCCTCCTTTGAACATTGTCTGCTTCTCTCTTGCTGGTTCCTTTAACAAGTCAATGCAATCATTGTGGACATCTTCCAAATTTAGGTTCATCTTTAAGTCATCTCCCTGCTGTACAAAGAGGTGGTTAATAAAAGCCTGGGCCAGAATAGGTGCGAGAACAGTGCCATGCACTAAACCTCCTGGAAGAAAAACCTGGGCTCCTGGCAACCTTTCAACAAACGTATTCCAGGAGAGATTGATGTACACCTGAGATGTGATCTCTACAATTATCCCTTCATGCTCACAGTTCCCTTCCTGCCTCCCACTTTAATAAAGTTTCTTGCCAGCTAAAATTGGTTGTTCAAAAACCCATCAGGAAAAAAAGGAATCATTACAATAGGATGCTGTGACCGGCACTCTCTCTAGGGAAAGGAAGCATGGTGCATGCAAGTTGAAAGCAGTGGGAGAGCCAGGGAAGCAGGAAGGAGGGAGAAATGATTAAAGGTCTCCGGTGGAGAAGAGGGTATGAGATTCAAAGAGTCTGCAGAAGGAAACTGGGAAGCTCTTGAAAACACAAAGGCAATGTCACTTGGGCTGGTAAAGAAAAGAGACAGCTGAAGACACAGGCTGCCCCTGTAGGCAGAGCCGAATTATTCCTGCATTTCACAAGGCTCAGCTTTATTTATGATTGAGAGCTGAGGAAACACTGTCAAGGTAAAAGCAGCTATGTAAATGCCGAGAGACAGAACATTCTAGTTTAGGATGGTGATTACACTGCAGTAGAAAGCTCTCTATCCCAGCTGGAACATGGCCACTACAAAAGTCTTAAAGAAACAGGTCTGTCCATCCAAGGAAAGGGGCTATGCCATCACAGGATCTGGAGAGACACAGTCATTGGGAGGTTCCACTTTCAGTTTCAATTCTAAAACAAAGCTGGTTTGTATTACTGGATGAGTCATTCGGGTTTAGAACACACTCAAAATCTGATTCCAAAATGGTAGCTGTCATAGAAAGAATGCTGGATTTTGAATTAGATATAACTTCAAAGTCAAATCTACTGCTACCTGACAGCAGGCCCCAAGTGAAGCAATTTTATTCTCCTTGAATTTTTCTTCTTCACTACTAAAATAACAATAATTTAAAAAGCACTGGAGATAACATACATAAACCCTTTTAGGGCCTGTTGCAAGGGCTCAGTGGATAAATCCTCACTGTACAAGCACCAAGATCTCATATGGGTTCCAGCTGCTCCACTTTCCATCCAGCTCCTTGCCTACGGCCTGGGGAAGCAGCAAAGGATGGCCACAGCACTGGGACTCTGCATCTGCAAGGCAGACTTGGAGAAGCTGCTGGCTCTTGGCTTCAGATCAGCACAACTCTATAAAAATTCTAAGTATTTGAAAAGCTTTTGTTGAGGTTGTAACTCATAAAGGTAGCACTGATGCCTCTTTCTCCTCAGAGACTTTTTCCTGCTTTTATCTTCACCAAAATCAAACTTTTCTGAACTACTGAATAATTCCCCCTCTGCATTCATTATTTGTGCATTTTCTGCAAGTGTTAAAACCCATTTTCAAGATCCTGCTTGGATAGCTGAAGTCCAGAGCTTACCATGGTTTAGTGGAACACTAAACCTAGCTGGGCCAATGTTTAGTTCAGTACAGCCAAATACAATGAATGGGATGGTAGTGGTGGTTTTATTGGATAATCATGATCTGGATATTATTGTCTGAAAGTCCTATCGGGAAATTAGCACCCACTCAGTGACAGTGTTAGGCTGCAAGGTCTTTGAAGCGGGTGTGGTTAGGGCACGGGGGCGGGGGGGGGGGGAAGTCCTCATGAACGAGATCAGTGCCTACATAAAAGAGGCTGCTCCTCTCTGCCAAAGGCAATTAGTGTAAGAAGATGGCCATCTATGAGGACGTGGACCCTCATGAGACACCAAATAGGGTAACACATTGACTTTGGCCTTCCTAATCCCCAAAACTATGAGGATGAGGTGTCTGTGGTTTATTAGCTCTCACCTTCTCCCCGCCCCCCGCCATTTCCTATGGCAGTCCAAATGACCAATAGTTAAGGACTTCTGGAAGGAGCCCTGTTTGGATCTGGTTTCCAGGCATGGTTCAATGTTTATGAACAAAGACAGAAAATCATGAACATAAATTAAATTTTAAGGAGAAGGAATGTTCTATACCAAAGGGGACAAACAAAACAATAAAAAAAAAGCCGTAGTGAACAAACAGTGGTTTAAAGAGGTGGTCAGCCTCAGAATAGTGGAAATCCTCAAATCTGGGATGCTCTCGGTAAGCAATGGAGAGTCTATGCTGAAGTACTTCAAATATAAAACAACATTAGCAGAATGGGTACACCTCCAGCTAGACCTCCAGCTAGACCTCTAGCTAAACCTCTGGCTCAACCTCTAGCTAGGTGGGAGCGTAATCAGAAGACTCTCAGTTTTTATAAAAGCGAATCCAGGGCTGACCTTGTGATCTAGAAGATTAAGTTGCAGCTTGGGGTGGCCACATTCAAATCCGAGACTTGATTTAAGTCCCTGCTCCTCCACTTCCAATCCTGCTCTCTGATAATGCACCTGCGGAGGCACTCTACTACAGCCCAAGTACTCGGGTCCCTGCCAGTCATATGGGAGACCTGAATGGAGCGCCTGACTGTTGCAGGCATGTGGGGAACAAACCCGCAGGTGGAAGGTCTTTGTGGTTTTTTTTTTCTACAATAAATACATTTTTCTAAAAAGAAGATATAATCCAAGTACTTGATTGGAAAGGAAAAGGAGACAGTTAAGTCCTGGCTACAGGAAGTGCTGGAGGAGTGGGGACTACTAATGTAAGGGAGGCTTCGAAAATGGTCTATCAGGAAGAACTGGAAAAACTAGGGAGGGCTAACATTTGAGGAGAGCGTATTTCATTAGGCTAAAAATTCAGAAAATGAACAGGAAAGGTCCTGCAGACAACAGAGAACAAAGAGCAGAGGAAACAGTGAGTCTCAGTGTCCTTACGGAGACACCACTGGGCCTTGGTGGATAAGACGGGGCGGACAGGAAATGATAAATGTTGAATAAGACAGAGTAAGACGGATGATTCATTCCTACAGCAGCAGAATGGCAATCATACAATGTTTACATGAAACAATTTGATATATGAGGCATTAATAATTTCACAACCATTTTCCCAGATCTGTTTTGGAGAATTTATATGTGGGCTTGTAAGACAGAAAATAAAGAGAAAAACAGGCACAAAGATAACCCATGAAATGTTGTTTAAAAAGGTAAAGTTTGGGGCTGGCAAGATGGTGAAGCGGACTAAGCCTCTGCCCTATGTTGCCAGCATTCTGTCTGGATACCATGTGTGCCCTAGCAGCTCCACTTGCAATGGAGCAGCTTTTTGGGTATAGCCTGGAAAAAGTGGGGGATAGACCTTAGGATTCCTGCACCCACATGGGAGTCCCAAAAGAAGCTCCTCGTTCTTGGCTTTATATCAGCTCAGCTCTGGCTGTTGTGGCCATTTGGAAAGTGAACCAGCAGAGAGGATCTGTCTGTCTCTGCTAGCTCTGCAAAATCTGCCATTGGGATGCTGGAATCAGCATTGGAGCCAGGACTCGAACCCAGATCTGGAATCTTCATTGCTAGGCTAAATGCTCATACTAGATTGTTATTCAAAGGAAAAGGATAATTCAGTACTCAATTAAAGCTTTGTACATTTGAAATAGTATTGTCACTCATGCTTATGACACAGACATAGGAAAAAATGATAGACATAAATGCAATCCTGCTCTGGACAGCAAAACCATTTTATTAACATTAAAGATCACAACGAAATCCTGTGTGTCTTCATATTCAATTCTCAGGACTGTCTTTTGATCCATTTTGTAGGTCAGAAAACTGACTCACGGGATTTTACTAATTTACCCAAAGTCACATATCTAATAATTTGAGATCCCAGGCAGCTGTACTGTACTCTAGAGCTTATGTTATTAATTACCTTGCAATTTCTCCCACCTAAATAACCAGCTTTTTCAGTCAGTTGCAATAACAGCATTAATCACAACAGTTTTTAATATGACATAGCCAAAACAATGGACACATTTCTCTTCTAACTGCATTTTGCTAGACAGACACATAAATATTTTCTCTATTCTTTTCATACCTATGTTTATTCCATGAAAACGAAGTGTTTAATAGTCCCATGAAGCTAAATGTTCAATGAACAAAAACACTTGAAGATTTATTTCTCTGATGTCCTAACATTGAGGGGAAAAGCTTATATCTATTATTTATGAACAAAAACCTAAGGCTACTTAGGCCAGACTTCACTTTTCTAACAGAAATATATTCATCTTTCAGCATATAATCTAACACAATGAAAGTAAAATACCTTCCCTGTGTTTAAGCTCCCATTCTCTGCAATGATTTTCTTCACAATGATGATAACCAGAATTAATTATGAGAAACACTCAAATAATTATGTTAGAAAGCTTCAAAAATCAGTGTGCAATCATTGAGAACTAGTATCAGAACATCTTATAACCAGAAGACATTTTATCCACAAACTTTTATTTATCTATGTGGCTGGAAGAGGCTTATTCCAGGAAGAAGGTATTACCTTCAGTTTTTCTTCAAGCTCTGTCAGTGAGCCACATAATTCATTAATGGATTCAAGAACCTCTTCATGTTTTGCCATGATTTTCTCAGCATATTTCTGCCCTTCTTCCACACCTGGGCAGAGGAAAGAAAGAACTGCTTTTAGAGGTCAAATCCTTAGCAGGAAAAAAAAAACACCCTCTGATGATGTCCTGTCTCTAGCCTTACTTTTTAGATTTTTGCTATCAAGACCCTCCTTCCTATTCTAGGTCCACTTCAAATGCCAGCATCATGATTGGATTTTCTCTCTGGTGGATAGTAACAAAAATAGCTACAATGTACGCAAGAGCTTATTATTTGCCTATGACTAAGCATTTCATGTGCATTTTCTCATGTCATCCCCTGGTAGCCCTGTTGCTAGCCACATTTTGTAAATGAAGGCCACAGGCTCTTAAAGGAGTTTCTGACCCAAACATTAATAGGAAGCATAGGGATCTGAACCTAGCACTATCTGACTCCATAGCCTAGGGCAGCTGTGGAACACAGTCTTACAGGCAAAGAAGTGTAGCCTTCCAAACAAGCTCATATGTTGAAGTCCCAATTTCTAGGTTGTCATTCTGCAACTGTGTTTATGTATAAGATCTTGAAACATGATTCTGATATTATCTAATTATCTAATATGACTGGTGTCCTTCTTAGGCAGGAAGGTAGCATAGAGAAATGACAGAGAAGAGGCAACAAGAAGGTAGCCATTTGCAAACCAAGGAGTTCTCAGAAGGTAACCCAACCATCTTGATCTTAAACTTCCAGGTTTCAGAAATGTGAGGCAGATTATTCTTGTTTAAGCCATCCAGTCTGTGGTGTTTTGCATGGCAGCCCTAGCAAGCTAATGAACACATTTCATAGCTCCTCACTGCATTTAATGTATCATGACTTTTAGGTTTAAAAGCCAATCCTTGAATGCACACCACTAGATTTAACTTGTCTTTATGTCAGCTGCATGTCTTCATACATTAAAAAAAAACCTTAAAATGTTTTTGATAAATTATTTGCATTAAAATGGTGGGTTCAGTAATACTTGATTAAGCAGTAAGAGTTGATGTGACATTCCTAAAGTACCCCAATTTGATGGAAAATTTAAAAAGTATTCCATAGTTTCCATCCTAAACAGATGAAGAATCACCATCCATGTATCCAATCACATTACTCTCAATGATTCATTTGTGTTTCACGTGTTATTAAGCACTAATAGGCACCATTCCTTATTTCCTGGAACTTACATTGTAGTAAGGAAAGCCAGACAACAGACAAATGATTCTACTCACATAACATGTCAACTGCTGAAAGAGCAAGGAATGTAAAGTAGGATAGAGGATTATGTGTGATGAGATGGAAATTATAGGAATCTTGTGAGTACTTACATGCCCTAAAATGGCACAGGTACCTCTCAATACAGTGATAAAATATACTTATCTTGCCTGCACTATAGAAAACAAGTGTTTATACTATGGCATGAAAGTATCTTGAGAGAATGAAACGTATACAATGTTATGGAAGCAGAGTGAGACTCTCCAATAATATTTTAGTGTACTTACAGAGTAAAACAAAAAGGAGATGTCACATTCATTGTGAGCAATATTTCCATCTATATCATGTTTTATTTTTTGAGAACTTTATTTATTTGGATGTCGGTGTTACAGACAGAGGAAAAAAAGAGGAAGAGGAGGTGGAAGGAGAAGAATGGGAAAGGAAGAGAGGAAGAGGGAGTGAGAGGCAGCGTAAAAGAGAGACTGAGAGAGCAAGAGCGCCACTACCTTCTGGCCTCTTTCACTTCCCAAATTGCCCACAAAAGTTCAGGTCGGGCCAGGCTGAAGCCGGGATACAGGAGTTTCTTCTGGGTGTCCCTCCCATAGAAGTGCAGGGGCCCAAGCAAGTGGGTCATCTTCTGCTGCTTTCTTAAGCACATTAGCAGAGAGCTGGATCAGAAGTGGAGCAGCCAGGATTTGAACTGGCACCCATATCAGATACAGGCAGCGGCTTAACCCATTACAAAATGTCTTCCTCTGTATATTTTATTATTTTAATGTTTCATTAGAAAATCATGAGTAATTTCATCCTAATATTACACAGTATGATACATATAATAAATCTTTAATAAAGATTTTTATGGCTATCCAGACACAGAGCTTCATGTTGTAAGAGGAAAGACCCAGCAGCAGTCACAGGCAGCCGAGCACAGCACCCACTACCACTTGCTGCTATCTTCTTTCAGGGCTGCACCTGCCACATTTCTGGGAATTGTTCTTGGTTTCAGAGGAAGAACAGCAGGGAATACACAGAAATGACTCCTCAGAGCAATCTGGCACAGGAAAGACCCAAGACTATGTTACACAGGGCTGTTATCAGAAAGTAGGACTTGCTTTTAAAACTGACAACAGCACTGTTCTTCCCAACCATGAAGGAGAGGAGAGCAGAAGTGCTGAGACGACACTGGAGTTTTCCCACTGATTTCATAAGAAGAAGGCAAAGGGAGCCTTTTCCAACTCTTTCTCAAACCTGTGAACTAAACCCTCATATAAATTAAAGGGCCACAGACTTCAGTCTCAACTTGATGCCAACTTAAAGTATTACTGGATAGTTGTATATTTTACTAGAAATCGTTTTGTTGGGAAAGCAGATTTAGTGTATATATTTATAAGCTGAGTACTGTTCTGGCTTTATCACCCTGGAGATGAACAGGAAGGGGGAGACAGAAAGAAATGAGAATGAGAGTGTCTGAAGGTGGCTAAGTCAGCAGGCTTTACCTTTGGCTGTGCAGTTCCTCCCTTGGGTCCTTACTGTGTTTGCTGGCCAGTTGCTCCCCCCCGCCAAGCTAATTCCCTGATTAGGTAGTTGAGTGAGGACCTGGAGACTTGCCACTCTGTTCCCTGTTAAGTCAGTTTCCATACAGATTTGTCCCATGTCAAAGCGCTGGCAACCTTAGCAGAGAGCTCACCATACAAGCGTTGAGTCAGGTCAGTAACCTCCCGCATCCTCTGCTCTTGCTGTGGCACTGAGGGTGCAATGAACTTCTTGAACTGCTGGTGCAGAATTTCCACAGCTTCCTTTGTCTTGCACTCTGTGGAATATTTCCCAACTCTCACAACTGTGGCACTTGCATCTTCATACCAAAAGTGACACTGCATGATAAGAAGATAATGCAAGATTAAAGAGTCGCCATACCCCAGTTTGTTAACCAGGAAAAGTGTTATATTTTAGAACCCTCAAACTTTAGGTTTATCTAGGTAAACTTTCTTGGTTATAGTAGATAAAAACATGAACATATACATTTGGGCAGTAGAGATAGAAATAAGAAGGAAAACTACGGGAATGTGTTTCATTTTCCTAACTTCTCAGGAATGCCTAAAATGTAATCACTAAGAGAATTGTGAGAACAAGTAACACAAAAATTATTTGGCACCAAATGGACCCCAAATTGGAAAGAAAAAAAGGCAAAACATTCACAATCTAGCATAATAAATTTTGAATCTTTTAAAATAAAAAACCTAGATGAAGGAAAAATTCCCAAACAGTATGTCATCTTTCAAAATGGAAGCTATTCATTTTTTTATTTAAAAAAATTATTTTTATTTGAAATGCAGAGTAACAGAGGGAAGGACGGACACACACACACACACACACACACACACACACACACACACACACACACACACACATTTTCCATCCATGGGTTCACTCCCCAAATGGCCTCAATGGCCACAGCTGAGCCAGTCCTAATTTTCTAATTCCTGGAGCCAGGAATTTCCTCCATGTCCACCATGTGAGTACAGGGACGGAGGCACTTGGGCCATACTCTACTGCTTTTCCATGGCCCTGAGCAGGGAATTGGATGTGAAGTCAAGCAGCAGTGACTTGAACTGGTATCTACATAGGATGCGGGGACCACCGTAAAAGCCTAGCTCACCAAGCCACGCCACTAATCCCAGCATATTATCAAGCCACAGAAGGGAACTGATTACAATTTTTCACTAAAAATAAAGGAGTGGGACAAAAGGAATGACTCTGGATGAAAAATAGAAACACAAAACCCTGTTAGAAGCTGTTTTTAAATAACTGTCCTCAAGCTGCAGCATTCCTACCTATCCGAAATGGTAGAGTGATCACCTCAATCCACCTCAATGCAGGGTTCAATCTATAGACTCCACGGTGTTAGAGGTAGAGTAAGGCATGTCATCAGAACAGCACACAGCTAAGGAAATTCAAGATCCGCAAGCTCAGTGCTTCCTCAATGCCAAGCACAAGCTCCCCTTTACTGTCAACTTTTGCATCTCTTACTGGCACAATGCAGCTCATTTTCTCGACAATAATTAACTGTACTTCATAAATTGCAGTGTCACTTTTCTCTAAATATTTTCAAATTCTGTAAGATAAATAAGCCAAATTGACTGTTGGAAACCGGTGACCAGTAGTGAATATGATTTCTTAATAGACTTGATGAGACTATGGCGGAACATGAAATCTCATACATTGCTGGTTAGCTCTAAAACAACTGGCTTATATCATATAAAAGCTCATAACATTCATTCCTTTTGATCCAAAAATCCTGTTTTAGGAAAATATCTGATGGAAACTGTCATGAAGATGAATATAATTCACAGGATTAATGATAATCATAACTAATACAATAGTTTTAAAATAGAAAAATAACTCTTAAAACATTGTAAAAAGATTTTAATTATAAGTCACCTCCTGTATTATTTCTTGAAGATGCTCTGTCAGGTCCAAATTTCTTCTGTAATCCGTAACCACTTTGTCAAAGTCCTCCACATGTTTCTGCAAATCCTTCAGTGTTTCCAAGAGGACATTAACTTTGTTACTTGGATAATTGAGGAACGAATCAGAAGCTTTATTATTAATTTTTTCTATTTTCCTTTTCAAAACCTGCACAAAAACATAAAACATTCAATTTTTATTTATTCTGTGAGTGACAGAAATCAACAAAATCTGCATAGTTACTCCCACAATTTGATCTGGAAATAGCAGGTTTTCTTCCAGATGTTCTATTAACTCAGCATTGTACCAGGATCTATTTTTTAAAGATATCATACAATCAAGACTAAATACTTGGTGCCAGTATTAGGATACAGCAGGCCAAGCTGCTGCCTAGAACATTGGCCTTCCAAACAACTGCCTGTTCAAAGTCCTGGTTGTTCCACTTACGATCCTGCCTGCTGCTAATGCAGAGATCCAGACAGAGTTCCTGGCTTCTGGATTAAGCCTATCCCTGTCCCTGTCATTGTGGCCATATGGGGAGCCAACTAGCAAGATCTTTCCTCCTTCCTCCCTCCTTTCAGTCCCTCCTCTTTCCGTAACTCTGTCAATGAAATAAAGTTAATTCTATTTAAAAATCAAGTGCTTCTCCTCTTAAAGCTTCATGTCTCCTGGGAAAGCCATCCAAACCAGTTAGATCACACCTATAATTGTCAAGAGGACAAATGAGTGGTGGAAGAAACTCTTGGTACAGACAGGAGGAAGGAAAGGAAGTGGGGAGTGAAATGTGTATGTACAGAAGGAGAAAATGGAGATACACAGGGCAAGTAGGTTGGACAGAAATCATTCTGGAATTTCCCAGAATGTAAATCAACTATTATATAACTGTCATAAAATGGTAAACTACCATTACAGTCCTAATCCCATTTGGAAAAAAAGAATTAGATACACAGAACTAAAATGAACAATGATTTTGCAACAGCTGCAGTAGTACACGCATACACACATACCATATTTTCCCATTACCTGCATTTTTTCGCCATATGTATCAACTTGCTGAATTTGGTATTTAAGAGTCCTCAGATTTCGAGTTTTTTCATTTTTCTTAGAATAATTAAACTTCAAATTGTTGAATTTCTTTTTGGTATCTTTGAATGATTCTTTGAGCTTTAGTTTAAGAAAGAAACAAATGATTTTCATAAAATGAGAAAACATTCATTTGTAATAAATCAATAATATTTTCAAATAACATTCTTCAAAATGTATTCAGAATGAATGAAGCAGACCGACTAACAAAGTTGGAAACACAGAGATCTTCCATCTACGGGATGACTCTCCAAATACCACAACTACCAGAACCAAGTCATGCCAAAGCAGGAGCCAGAACTCTATCTTGGCCTCTCACATGTGTACCAAGGACCCAAATACTTCAGCCATCCTTAGCTACCTTCTCAGGCTATCAGTAATCTGGATTGGAAGTAGAGTGACCAGGACTTAACCTACACTCTGATGAGATATGGCTGGCACAGATATGCAGTTACTTCCATTGTGCCACAATACTGACTCCTTCCAACTGATTCTGCTCTCTTTATGTTAATGTTTGTCCCAAATTTCTTCATCTTTCCAAATTCTCTCTTACAGCCGTTATGCATACATTTATTAAAGGTCCAAGGAGCTGTTCATATTGAAGAGAGCAGTGAAGTGAGGACATCAAGGCCGCCTGCGATATTGGTACAGTGAAAGAGAAGTCCAAATAAGTGCTTTAGTAGGGAAAAATAAAAGAGTTTTTCATGGGAAATACTTAGAGAGTTTTACCTCTTGGATCTTCAATAACAAAATGTAAAGTGAAAGTGCTTGCATGTGATGATTAGCTTACATAGAAAGAGTATATTGATCCATAGTCTAATGAACATTTCCACTTTACCAATGTACCAAAATTTCAAGCAATCCAGTTCCATTAGACACACAACTCTCCCTTCCCTTCTCTGTATTCAGGAAGAAGACTTAGAATATTAGCAGGCAACTCTCTCTGCATTTCTGGCAAAGAGGTGTATAGAAAAACATTAACCTTCTTAGATTGTAGAGACATTTAAACAGCAAGAGTGAAAAAACAGTGTGGTTGATAACTTTGAACCATCACAAGAAAGCTGGAAGATGTTTAAAATTCTTTCGGATGATGCATAAACTATTTGGAGGAAAGGTAAACCCATATGTGTCCAAGAAAATGTGTGTTTTCTCACAATGTTTATTGTAAGGATACCACTTTGATTTTATCTTGACTGTTCCTTGGAGGTAATGATTGGTAAAGCATTAGAAGATCTGTGTACACAGTAATGGTTACCCTGCTACATATTTTTTGCATTTGATTCACCTTTACCTCATCTACATTATTGTGTATAATAAATGAAACTATTGAACATTAGTTTTCATCTACACACTAATTGAGGAACAGACATCACATAAAACATTTTAATTAATCAAAATGTTCAAAAGTAGAAAGAGCTTTAGTTTAAAATTTAAAAATTAAAATCAATCATTCTATCAGAATTTAGGAATATATTTAAAAGATGATGCTCAATTGGCATATTTGTAAGAGATTAACATTTGTATTTTATGACATTCAATGTTTGATTTTTAGCAGAAGAAGATGCATTGGGTCATTTTATAGGATTGAGGCATGAAAGAATCACATTCAGTTATTCATGTAAAACATCGGCAAATCTTATGTGAAACTGTTCCCTAACCTCATAATTTGCAACAAAAATATACTATGTTCTACTTTTGAGAAAATTAGAAATTACTGATTTTGTTTAGGTCTTATTTGTTTATTTGAGAAAATTACAGAAAGAGAAAAAGACACAGGAAAACATTTTCCATTTGCTGGTTCACTGCCAAATGACTACAACGGCCAGGCTTGGACCAGGCCAAAGCCAAGGGTGAGGAGCTTCTTCCGGGTCTGCTCTTGGGTGTGGGGGGGCATCTTCTGTCCATCAGCAGGAAGCTGGGTGGGAAATGGAGCAATCAGGCCTCAACTAGTTCCCATAAGGAATTCTGATATCACAGACAGCAAGTTGGCCTGATGCCTGCCACAGCATTTGCCTCAGAAGTCTTAGTTTTAAAAATCATTTCTTCAATGTCAAATTATTGTTCAGTAAATGCTGAGTTTCAATCTGATATGATGAAAAAGTTCTGTGATGGATAACAGTGATGACTATAATAATGTGAACATATAAAATACCACACCATTGAGCCATACACATAAAATGGTTAAATGGTATTATGATGTGCATTTTACAACTAAAAATTAAAAGAAAGAAGAAAGCAAACCTTATTGATAACATTTATCCATTGGAAAATAAAATTTTATACTTATTATAGGACTTCAGATCAACTTGGCTTCAGAAGGGCGACACTGCTAAATGATGAGTGAGATGCTGTTTGCTTCAGAGCATATGCACTTTCACTGTCAATGATTTATAAGGTCAAAGAATGTTCATGACGCTACGGATATGTGAAATGGGATCAGCTTCTTTCTGACACATGAGCTCCCTTGACACAGTTGGTGGCACTTTGCTCTTTTGATCCCTCTGGAGCCCGTTTTAAAATCGAAACCCCTGAGTCTTTTTCAAATGAAACTCAAGATGTACAGAGAAGGCTGTACACATGAACTACCTTCAACAACTGAAAAGTTGACCACACTTTTCCTACCTGCATATTTCAGTCTGAAAACTTAACTTCCCATATAATCCCCACATAACTGGTGTCAGATGTTGGAGAGAGCTGAGGGATATGGCAGCTTGGCTGCAGTATCATTGTTCATGCAGCTGTTTCTAACTTTAGTCGGCTTGTCAACAATGGGGAATGGTGGAGATGGCTAGGACAACTGCTCAACTCAAACAAATAAGCAGAGGAAACACCCAAGGACTGGGGTGAGAAAAATGTCATCTTACTACTAATATTTAAATGTAGTTGTAGTCGATATTAATGAAACTTCTAAATGTCTCAAAAAAATCAGAGAAATGAGGATTTTTTTTTCCCCCTGCCTTTCATCTTGCTTGGTTCCTCTATGTTTACTATAGAATAAGAAAAGTCAAGATAGCTAATATTAGATTAAAAGTTACTGACATTTAAAAACTGTAGTTCTTTTGAAACTACAGAATAAACGTTTTCACCAGCAAGCCTTAAGCCCCCTCTCAAAGTCAGGAATGACCAGTGCTACTCCAAGAGCAGAAGGGAAAGAGGCTGCTGACAAGCAAGGCTTGCCTGCTATTTTTAGAGTTAATGAAGCCAATTGAGGCAGCTCTGGCGCAAGAATGTATTTGTTAAGTTTGTAGCTGGCAGGGCCAATTGTGAAAGGAACGTGGGACCCTTTAAAAATAGGGTATGTATTGTTTTTAAGCCCTTTCCTTAGAATTGTATGCAGCATACCTTTGGCCAGAAGGAAAGATGCAAAGTGAATCATCAATTTTCATTTCTCTCACAGTTCCACTCCTTTCCTTGCTTACAGTTTTGCCCACTGAAGAAAATAATAAAAGCTTTCTGCTATTCATTTTCAGGTACAGAATAGCTTCAGTATTATCACCTCCCAGGGATGCTTGCATTTAAAATGAAGAAATGGAAAGTCTGGAAACTCAACCTAACTCACTTGCTACCGCAATTAATGGGAAGACAGTTGTACAGACTTCAGGACATGGCTGCCGGTCTTGTTCAATTTTGCAACCACATCACTGACTTACTGTTCTTGATGCCAACCCTGGAGCTACAGGACGTGGGCAACTTGGGAAATGAAGACAGGGGCTCCATCTTAAATTGTAGGTGGCAACAGGTCTCAGTAAAACAGCTTACCCATGCTCTCTATTTTGTGTCTGCTAAAATATTAAATTTGATTTTTTTAGATATAATTTTGACTTCTGCTTTCTGTATTCTTCAAGAAAACAATTATTTTGCAAATGCTAAATGCTAACATTTTAAGAGATTTGAACTATAGGGTAGATGTCTCCAATTACAAATGATAAACTTTCCTGGCCTTTTACAAAAGAGATCCAGAATGAAATTTGATTAATCAGTGCCTGCCAGTATTGAGACCCTGAATTTAAACTTCCCCTGGACTCCAAGACTTTTGAGACCATTTATATTTAGGGTGGCACCCACTCTCCACATTATATATTTATTTGTTGCTTGCAACACAAAAAGAAAGACAGAGGGCTGAGGGAAGGACAGAGGGGGAGAAAGAGAGCTCCCATAAGCTTTCCGTTACGACCAGTACTAAGCCAGCCAGATACCAGGAGCTAGGAACTCAATCTTAACTCTCACATGGGTGGCAGGAATCCAGTTACTTAAGCCACTACTATTGCTTTTCAGGTTCAGCATTAGTCGGAAGCAGAGCCATGTCCAACCAAGACGCTCTAATAAGGAACTTTAGGCTGATGCCTACCCCAAAGATTACTTTTTGACATGATGAACTCAGGCTATAAATCTGGAAAGTAATTATTGTCTGTCCTCTAGCATCAGGCTACCCTATAGGCTATTTTGACTTTTTCTAAAACCTTTGCTTCCTTTCCTGTCAGTGAGTGTTGTACATGGTCATTTTGTCAGTGGCAAAGTGCCACACAGTCAGGCAGTGTTAGGTTTATTAATTGTGCAGGTGTCTACAGTGGCACAATTCCCTCTATTCCAATTCACTGCTTCTAATCTGACATGTAATTTTGGAACTCAGGAGACTGGTTAATCCTGACAAAACAGAACCGGTAGCACATGAGCAAATGTCCAAATTACAGAATGTGTATGCTATGTCTATTTCAGCTAACTTTTTGTGGGTAAGATATCATTGCAGTGGAAAAACTTAGGAGTAATGTAGTGTTATGATCTGAAAGTCTTTTTGTGGAACTTATTTTGAGAAATTACATACTGACCTGATTCTGCCATTACTGTTCTTTACAGCAAAGTAATTATTTGTAACCCATGAGAATAGCCTCTAGTTGCAAATTTCCATTAATATTATGTAAATATAAAGGTAATTTTTTGGCCAAGTTCAGAGAAGAAAACATGCTCAATATTACCTTATTGTGTTTTAAAATATATATGTGTAAAGACTGAGCAACTGACCGTGTCCCTCTGTCACAGACTATGCCAGAAAATATATGTATAACACTTCAGATACAAAAAATTTACACAGGTTGGCAAGAAAACGTGTGGTCATATTCAACTCATGAATACAAACGTATTTCTGCATGAAATGAATGGAAAAATTCCCCCCCAAAATAGTAGTTTGATAGCTATGTTACTCCAAAAAAACCAGTTTCATGGGTGTGTTCTCCAGTAGTTAGACACAGAAAAAAAAAAAAGCGAATGATTTTCCATGTCCTGGAATAGAGTTGAATGGTTCTTACTCAAAAAGAATTAAGCCATGAAATCATTTTTTGTTACCTTTAAAGAATGTCATGTCACATGAAAAAAAAACACCCACTTATTTCATTTTCCTTTCCGGTGTTGAGTCTCTTCTGAAGCCCTTCAATGTCACCTAATCTTGTAAGTCAGCTACAGCATAGTCAATAAAGACATTTTTGCTGATTTAACAAAATGAACTGTTCTATTATAGCAACTCACAATAAAATTCTACATGGTGGCAGGTGTTTGTGGTAGGGGTTAAGCTGATCATTGGGATTCTTGTACCCCACACAGGAGTGCCTGGGTGCAGCCCTGACTCTGCTCCCTGTCTCAGCTCCTGTTATCATGCACTTTGGGAGGCAGCAAGTGAGGATTCCAGCAGTTTGGTTCCTGCCACTGATATAGGAGACCCAGATCGAGTTCTTGGCTCCATGCTTTGGCAAGATGACTCGCTGATGTTGTGGACATTTGGGGAATGAAACAAGAAGGGGGCACACATGTTCTCCTGTTCCTTCAAGTAAATTTTAAAACTCTTCTAACAGATATGTTAGGAAACTGGATAGAACACAACATAGGCAGAGGATCAGGCAGAAGTTGAATGGAACTTACATCGTGTGAATGATGAATTCTGAGCTTAGCAAACCACCAGTGTGCTGGTGCCTTACACATAAGACTCTGACTCAGAGTTGATACCCTGGAATTCTATGGGCAGGAACTCTGTATTCCTCTAGCACATGTCTAAAATGAAAGTCATGTGTATACACCCGTTTCTTGTAAAAAAGATGCTGAACCAGACATTCTCAAAAATCTACTGCAACTCAGAGTCTGTGCTCTATAAAGAAACATTTCAAACATACTGGAAGCAGAATAATTAGTGTTTATAAATAAACATTAAACATCAAATGTTACACTTGGTCCATCTTTCTTGGCAAGGTATCTGATGTCACTTTCTTTTGTGGAAATATATTTAATGTAACATATCATATTTAGTTTTACATAAATATTTTTACAGCTTATGTAATATTTTATTACAAATAATGATACTGCCATTACTAACATCTAGATGCCTAATATTTTTGTCACTATTGGAAATGGCCATTTGTTTGTGTACTGATATTCCCACCGCAAACTAGAATGCAACATTTCTGTTTTTCTAGGGACATACAAATATTCCTTCTGATTATTTTTGTGAGGCTTGTGGCTGGATGGGTTACTACAGTCTGACATGCATACTATAGCTCTACAAAAGAAAAAAAATGGAAAAGTAGAAAAGATCCAATGTTTTCAAGGTTTTAAATGTGAAAATGCAGCTTTTATCAAAGATCTGTTGGGTTTGAGATAGAAGCAGATGGAAAGGATACCTCTCTTAATATTTAAGGGTATGTGAAAGGGGTACATGATTCCTAAATCCAATCTGCAGGTATCTGGTTGCCCTGATAGGGGACAGACAATCCTGGGATGTTCCTCCTAGGCCTGGAAGGGACATCTGTCACCCTGGCTGGCTGGCTGCCTCCCAGCTCAGGCTCATCATGAGGCAGTCCCTATAAATAGAATGCCTGGGAAAAGGGCCGGCACAGAGAGACCCATCTCCACTAATGCCACAGCCCTTCAGAGAGGTGGCCCCAAGCCCCAGGGTCTAGGGAGAACCCTTAGCCTGCCTCACTTGTGCTTTCAGTAGAGTTGGACCACTGCAGCAGAAGGGTACATGCCTGGCAAGACAGAGATGCACAAAAGGGAGGAAAAGCAAATGGAGAAGGCAACAAAAGCAGCAGTGAGGAAGAAGATGTAGGATAACTTTGGTGAAAGATTTTTAAAAATGTATTCCTATGGCTGAATGCAAAGCTTTAGCATTGGGGAAATGAAAGTGCTCAGGTCATTTTCTTCCACAAGACCTGATAAAAGTGTGGTTGCAATAGTGGAATCCAGAAAAAGCTATTCAACTACACGGAGGTCTACACTGTGGGTCCAATCCTGAGGAGTGGGCTAGTCTAGCCCGAAACAACTTGTTTTGGCACCGGCTAACAGCAGAATCTCCACAGCCCTGTAGCACATAACTAAAATGAAAATCTGTGTCAGATCTGCCTTCCTGCCTCCCACTGGGTAAACAAAATCAAAGTGGCCAGTCCTACTATCCTCCTCTCTCACTTCCCTTCCAGCACAATTCCTCCTGCACCCCTGTTGTCCCCCAAAAGTACCGCCTGAAGAAAGGGATGCTTCAAGCTAGAACACTATTCAAGTGTCATTGCCTACAGTTTAGTCCATGCTTTCAAGTTGCTTGATGGTCCCAAATTAGGTAAACTGGGAATGGACAGAAAGTTTAAGAATGCTTCCTACCTCTTTTTCTATCACTTTCCTTTCCTGTGGACCTACTGTGCAAAGAACTCAAAGAAACATATTGCTGTACACAGAAATTAAACTTATGGTTGCCCTTGAGTTTCTCTATGAATGCCCAGTCATGAATCAGGACCCTTGGTATCTGTGCTTTTTTTTCCCCCAGAACAGGAAGCCTTTGAATGAGAAAAGCCATGTACAGACAGGTGGTGGCTGGGTGTTATTTACAGCTGAGAGGAGGGATTGTGCCTGCTGGGAGTGGGGGCATGGAAGAGCACTTTCATCTGTTCTTTTCTTTTTTCTCTGGAAATTCTTCAGCCAGAAAAGCCACTTCGCTGGAGGCTGTAGGAAGCTAGCCACTTGACTTGGGCGATAAGAGTCTGTAACCTCTGAAGCCAAGAGCCTGCTCCCTGCCCTCCACGCCCCCTCCACCGTGAGTCAATTGCACTTAAATAGAATCTCAGCAGGCTGGAGCGGGCTGCCATGGGTCAGTGTCACCCTTTCTTCAGTGACCTGGCAGAGCTGGAGCCACTCAAAGCAAATGACTACTATTAGGATTTGAGTGTGGACAGAGGGAGGGAAGCAAACTTCAAATGAAAGCAAGAACAGAGAATTGCAACACTTCACTGTGTGCTTCTCTATGTGTTGTCAACATACTCAATTCAAATTTGCCAAGATCTGAGGCTAGTGGTTAGTAAAGAAGAGGAGGAAAAGCAAGGCTCCTGACTCACTGTGTATGCATTACATGAATGTGCATGCACGCAGACACAGAGTAGCTTCTAGAACACACCCATCACATGGCCCTCATACCTCATTGATCTCATCTCTTAAGCTGCAGTACTGCAAGCTGCGGGCCAGCATCCGGTCCCGGTCCTCAGCCCGGATGACCCAGGTCCGGCTGTCCTCTTCCAGACCCTCCAGCTGCTGCTGCAGCTTCTTTGCTGAGACATTAGAGCAGTTCTACAAAGGAAAGACAAGGAGAAATCACCAGGGGAATGGATGACCACGACAATGAGATAAACATGTAATTCACTTGCATTGTGTAACTCCTAAATGACACTCTTTGAAAAAGAAATAGGCCCTGATTTATTTTCCCTTAAACATACTGGAATATAATTATCTCAAGAAGGGAGCCAGATGCCAACATTATAGAAAGACATTTGCAGTCCTGAATTTCCAGTTTTACAGATTTGCTCATCCCATCCCATTCCTTGGAGACACCGTTCATTATAACATATAATTTTTACTTCAAAAAGCATAAAATATGCATTAGCAACATTGAGCTTCTGCACTGTAATTTTCCTGTCGACTCGAGCTTCCTCTCAGGTTCATTATGCAGGGGCTCCAATCTCTGCTCAGCACACAGGGGCTGCCAGGGTGAAGGCCAGCAAGGACTGGAGACCAATTTACATCCGTGGTGCAAAGTGAGACTTTTTCCTTTCTCTGTTTGAAAGTAAATTTACTAGTAACATAAATTCTTTTAAAAAGAAAGCTCTTTCCTGGCAAAAGCAGACTCCATTAACCACAACAGATACTCTGTAATTCTGTCTTTCATTTTATAACTCTAGAGTCACTACCTTCCCTATAATTTAGTTCAGCCATTCTGATTTTTATTAATGGCATGCATGCTGATCGAATAAGCATAATCTCTTTCCACAAATAATGAATTTGAAGCAGGACTTTAAAAAAAGAACCCAGTGTATTATTTGATCTGGAACACTTCAGTTCCAGGCTCTGCTGTGAAAGTCTATCCAGCAGCATCAAGCAGATCCACTGCCCAGGACCCCAAACGAAGCCAGGGGGCATGGGTTCCCCCTCCCCCAACTGATAGGGCTAAGACAGCCAGCTACTCTCAGCCTCCAGTGAGAGTGCTGATAAGCTCTAGGATTCAGCTGACTGTTCAGATGTACAAGACTAATGCAATATTAATCAATATAATCATGAAAGTCATATAAGTACATTAGAAATGTTCCAGTATTTATATAAAAAAGGGGGAAACCTAAGTGATGAAATCCCTATGTTGAGGACATATTGAAATTTCCACGTTGATTGCAACACTATTCCCAGGAAATGGAAATAAGCAAAGTGACTATGCACTTATGCATATATGTGGTACATATATGCAATGTAATATTACTTTTTCAGGCAAAGGGGATGAAATTGTTCTATTAGCAAAGTTATGCGTGGAATTGGAGGTCACTGATTTCAATAAACCAAGCACAGAAGCACAAGTATAATCTGATATCACTCATATATGGAGTCTAAAAAATAGGTGATCTCATGGAAGCTAAAAATATAATTAGTTACCAGAGAAGGAAGTGAGCAAAAGGGACTGGGAAAAGTTAATTTATGAGTACTGGATAATAACTAAACAGGATCAGAAGTTCTAGGGTATCACCCACAGTAGGGTAGAGATAAAGTTAATTTACTGTATATTTGTCTCTCAACAAACCTTAGAAGATAGTATTTGGGGATGTCTTTCCTGTAAAGAATTGCTAAATGTATGAAAAGATAAATTTACTTACCCTGATTGGACATTCCGTAATATAAACAAGTTATAAAATATTACAAAGTACCCCACCCATAAACATGTACAATCTTTATGTCAAAATTTTACCAAAAAATTTTTAAAAATGAAATAAACTTAACAATACTATTGAAAATAATACTATCTAAACTTAAATAATACTATTTAAACTGTTACTAAATATTAAAAATACCATTTAATAATATTAATACTGTTTAGGTTGCATACTAGTATGTAGTTACTAGTGATCAACATACAAATCTTAATATTTCTATATTCTTTGAAATTGTTTTTGCATTTGTATTTCCTATTTTAAGCAGATCTGTTATTTTCATCAGAAATATCTAATCTGTGTTTAAATTTCATAATATGCAGTTTAAAATTAGAATCATATACTCTAGTCTAAAATGGGTATTCAATAACTATAATGAGAATCACTTTAAAGTTAATTCAAATTTAATAAAAACTAAATTTTAGTTCCATTACTGTATTAAGGACATTTCAACTGCAAAGAACTGTCATAGGACAGCACACAGCTCTCAATGTAAGCACTCTTCTAAATTAGCATGACAATAGATGTGTTAAATAAGGGTTTTTTTTTCTTTTTTTTTTTTTTTTAAGATTTATTTTTATTATTTTTTCATTGGAAAGGCGGATATACAGAGAGGAGAGACAGAGAGGAAGATCCTCCATCCAATGATTCATAGTGAGCACAACGGGCCGATACTATCGAAGCCAGGAGCCTCTTCCAGGTCTCCCACGCGGGTGCAGGTTAAGTCCTGGACTGCTTTCTGGAAGGGAAATTAGAAATATGGGATGCAAGGCGAGGACCTTTAACCACTTGTGCCACCGTGCCGGGCCCGAAATAAGGGTTTTATATTTGGATTTTTTTCCTTAATTTTTTTTGACATAAGTAGTAGAGATTCACCATAAACAATTATATCAAAGATTTAATGTATTCTTAAATGAACAGATAGGCTTATTATCCCCTTGTGTATTTTGGGACAAACACAGAGGAGGGTATTTGGTGTAATATTTAGGTGCTCCTTGGGACTTCCAAGTTGGAGACTCTCAGCTCAGTTTCCAGTTCCAGGTTCCTGATGGTGCATAGCAGGGTTCTCAAGTACTTGAGTTCCTGCCACCCACACAAGAATCCCATACTGAATTCTGGATTCCTGGCTCTAGGCTGGCACAGTCCGACTCTTGCAGGCATTGGTGAAATAAACCAATGAGGGCAAGATTTCTTTGGGCCTCTCTGCCTTTCAAAGAAGAAAATCAGAGTCAAAAGTATCAGGTATAAATGCTGCTGTCATAAGATGCTTACAGGCCAATGCACTGATGAGATGATGTCTGCTCCTAAGGAAAGGGCCAGTTTATAAAGATGGTCTACATGGGCCTGCTTCTCTTGAGAGCGGGTAAGATGAATCTGGACATCATGAGCATCCTCCAGTTCCATCAGCTGCCCCAGAAACTCTTCTTCTCTTGACGTGATGAGATGTCCTAGCTGGAATTTAGGGCATTGACAATTAACCGCAGTTTATATAAAGACAGTTTAGAAAAAAAAAAAGCTGAATCTCAATAACATTTTACTAGCTGGTAAAATGCTGATAAGTTCATCCATAATTATTAATGTTGTAGCCTAATACATTTTTCTGTGCTAGAAATCCGATAGAGTAAAATCGAGCAGCTAACGATGTCAGCTCTGTTAATAAAGAAAACACTATTCAGGGCCTAGCCTAAAACTTTAATAAGACTTTGAACCATGACCTAAGAAAATCCAGAAGTGATTTTGAAGGGATATCCATACATTTCCAGTCTATATTGAAAGAAGCTAATAATTATGATGTTTTTGTAATAAAATCAGCCACCAAATCATCTTTCCTGAGCACTCCACGATGTCACATTCTTGAGATACAGACACATTGGACTTGCTTTCTGCCTTGAAGAGCTGACACTTGGCTTGTTTGGAAGGAGGGAGAAAACTATGCTAATTCAAAAAAATGATTCTGATCAAGATGCTCAAAGTGGTGTTTATTTCACTACTTTGAAATAAATAATGAAATAAACAATGAAAGTTCTAGGAATTTCAAAACAAGGGTAAATCACTTCAAGTGAGTAATACTGTTGAGAGACAACAGAGAGAGGAGAAGCCTGTTGGGTAATGGCAGCCTGGGACTTGGAATTAGGCGTGGAGGGACAAAGAACTCATTGACTGGAACACAAAGTACAAGTACAACATGGGGTATATTAAAAGTTGGATTGTGTCAATGACTAGTATCTGAATTTGGACTGTTTTTTTTAACAAAACAATAATTTTTAAAATCTTTCAGAATTAAAACCCAGACATCCATGGTAAGCCATATACCTTTTCCTTGACTCGGTGGAACTGCACTGCCTTGTACAGGACAAGCTCATAATCTTGGATTCTCTCTTTCTGTTTCTGATGCAGGTGAAGAAGGTCCTTCAGTTGTTGAGACATCTCTCTCACAGGGGCTCCTCGGTCACTCAGGTCTTCTGATTCGTTCATAAGGTAGTGTACTTCATCATTCATTTGCTAAAATATTAAAATCAAGAAAAGTCCAGCTTTTGCAAAACTTTTCTTTGCAACTGCAACTGTGAAGATGCAACCTAAAAATGATTCTCATTTGTTAATAAACACTTACTATCAGCTCCCACCTCTCAACTCCAGGTATTTTGTTTGATATTAGGAATATATTTTTGCATCCTTATCTGCTCAGAAATTTAAAAATAATAATAAGCAATGGGGAAGTTTTTTTCCAAGGTAACTTGCTAAGTGAGAAGTCATATATTTCTTTATCACAACAAATATTCTAGTCATTGGGGCTGGGCAATGTCTCAACTGGCTAATCAAGTGCCAGGATCCCATTTGAGCACCAGTTCATGTCATGGCTGCTCCATTTGCTATCCAGCTCCCTGCCTATTGCCTGGGAAAGCAGTGGAGGATGGCTGAAGGCCTTGGGATCCTGCAACCATGTAGGAGACTCGGAAGAAGCTTCTGGCTCCTGGCTTTTGGATTGGCTCAGTACCACCCATTACGGCCATTTGGAGAGTTGAACCAGCATATGGAAGATTTTTCCTCTCTGTCCTTATAGCCATAAAAACATCTGCCTTTCTAATGAAAATAGATATATTTTTTTTAAAATGCAAAGAATACAAATACTCCAGTCATCTGTTAAGTAAACAGATTTTGCATGCCTTAGGATGTCCAGTGAACATCTCTGATATTTAATTTAGTCTAGAAATGGGTGGTAGGAAATCAACAGTAGCAGAATGCAAGTGTAAAAATATATTATGGGAATTACTTGTACTCTGTGGCAAAGGAATGATCAGCATGAGCCATCAGCTGAGCAGCTCAGCAGATAGGCTGACTCAAAGGCAGCCGTCCCGTCATCCACAAATAGCTACCACATGTGGAGAAGGATCAAACCGCTGGCATTTGACCCAGCCCTGCTCTGATAGCCCTTCTTGGAATCCAGATTTTGGATTGGAACTTGAAAAGAGTGGAAAACTTTAATAGGGTGCTGCTACAATTTCAGGGATCAATCTTATATATAAAAGGTTAAACTAATGATAATTATTTAGACTGAAGAGATAATTTTTCCAAAAAAGTGATCTGAAAAGATTCCTCAAGTTCAAGTCAAAGATGGGGGAATGAAACATGCACACATACAGTGATGGAGCTGACTAAACCCAATCATGGCTCCCGAGTTAGAGGGACTTGGCACATTCACTCACACATGCAGACAAACCAAATGTGACCAAGCAGGGCCTATCAAAGGACCTAATGCAGGCGAGTCACTTTCTGAGTTCTTCTTGTACATTATCATGAGTGGGTGGGTGGCTGTGTGTATGTAGCAGGAGTAGTGGTGGTCTTCTTTGTTAATTTTATTTTCAAGGAAAGGAAACTATAAAAGGAATTGAGTATCCTTATAGGATACTTATCTTAATTGATTCTAAGATTCTTTAAGGCCAACTCTTCAGAAATAGCAGCAGCTAGAAACACAGGTATATTGCGGAATATCGCAGCAAAGATCGAGAATCTAGGTTGGCTGATAGTATGACAGGCAACGTGTCCTTGACGGCTGTATGCCATTCAAGAAAGGCAGGAAGTAGGACACAGGGAATGTGTTATGCAGAGACCAGGAATGTGACTCATGGTATGATTTTCCATATTGCTTTCAGGATTTTCTGAGTGGGTGAATGAGGAATAAAATTCTTGGAATGATGCTTGAAGCCTAGGGTGCTAGACAGGGATGTGACATTACAATGGGGATATTAGGCACCCAGGGGGACAGAACCTCTGGGGCTGGGGCTGCCTGTACAAGTTCTGTCTCAATTTAAAACACATTTTTACACCCCAGTTAAAGAATTGTATTCAATTATATGCTAATGATGCTAACTTAAGCTAGAATTAAAATTCAGATAATCTAAGACAAAAATGTATAACATTGTATAACCTGAATGTTTCTATATCATTAAACACAAAAGAATGCAGAAAATCAGCAAGAAAAGTACATTTTTACAGTGGATTTTTCAACAAGCAATGTTTTTGTTTAAGAAATACAAATTCCTCACTCTGGTAAGAGCACTGGATGGTTCATTCTCTCTATTCATCCAAACACATCCTTTTTTTTTTTTCTGTTTACCTGGAACTGAGGCTTCATCTCATTCCATTTTTGTTGTAAGTCTAGAATGGTCTGGAGGCTTCCTCCAAGGTCAAGTGCAGACGCAAGCATAAGTGCCTCCTCAAGGAGCTTTAGGTTGTGTGCAGTCTGGAATAAAGAGTGGGCAATTATGCATGCATTTCCATTGATCCCAAAAGTCAACGTTATGAGCATCAAGCAATGGCACTGAGGGCCATCCAACATTTCACGCAGATGCTACTAATCCGAGCTCATGGTTCTAACTCACTGAAGAATAAAGCCACAAGGTTTTGGTTTTCCTTACTGTTTATTATGAGTTACAACGATTTTGACACATTCACATTAATATGCAACCAACACCATCTTCCATTTCCAGAATCTTCTTACAAGCTCAAACAGAAACACTGGACCCTTTAAGCAGCAACCCCCATTGTCTCCAGTATCTATGCATTTGACTATATGGACCTTATTTTAGGAAAGTCACATAATATTTTCCTTCCTTGGCTAACTTATTTTATTGGGTATGTTTTCAAGATTCATTCATGTAGCAAGTATCAGAATTTCATTCCTTTGGAAGGTTAAATAATATTCCATTGTATATTCCATTACCTTATATTTTTGTCCTAATTATCTTGACACATAACCATTATATATATATTTATTAGACACAATGTAATGTTTCATATTTATACTGCCTATCAAATTAGCAGTATTTATCATCTTATTCTATTCTTGATGCTCAAAACCTTCTTTTCTAGCTATTTTTAGATACACAACACATTCTTGTTAACTCTAGTTACCCTATTCCTCAAGGAAATATTAGAACCTGTTCCTCCTGTTTAACTATACCACCATGCCCATCCACCAAACTCGCCTTAAACCTTCTGACCCTCTGCTCTCATCAGCATCTCATAACCAATACCCTAAGCTTCTATGAGATCTACCTGCTCAGATCCCACATGACTGAGCTTATGTAGTATCTCTATTATGAGTGAAAACCATGACCATAAGATATGAAATCCATAGAACAAAACACATGGGAAGCACTTCAGGACATTGGTCTTGGATATTTTGGATATGACTCCAAAAGTACAAGATACAAAATTAAAACTTGACAACTGGGATTGTATCCAACTCAATTGCTTCTGCACAAAGGAAACAACCTTTCTACAGAACAGAGAGCTAAGCAAACTATAAGAGTGGATAAAATGTTTATAAGCTGCACATTTGAGAAGGGGTTCATTTCTTTAACTCATAAGCCTGGATTCATTGTTGTGGCACACCAGCTTGCAATGCTGGCATCCCACATGGGCACTGGCTCATGTTCTGCCTGCTACACTTTCATCAAGCTCCCTAATGATGTCTGGGTTCTTGACATCTCAGTGGGAGACCCAGATAAAGCTCGTGGCCCCTGGCTTTGTCCTTGTCCGGAATTGGATATCCTGGCAATCTGGGGAATGAACTAGAGGATGGAAGGTCTTTCTGTCTCCTTGTTTCCCCTATCTGTTGTAACTTTGAGTTTAAAACAAACAAATGACTTTGAAAAAAAAAAACTATAAGGATTCAACTGAATAGCAAGGAAAACAAATACAACTAAAAGCAGGCAAAACTTGAATTTGTATTTCTCACAAGACATACAATTTTCAGTAGATACAAGTATAGGAGACAATGCTGAACCGCCCTTACCTTTTTAAGCTTCTCTTTCAAAGCCCCCCACTGCTGTTTCAAAGGCTTGCTTTCAGTGGCCTTCCGTTGCCATGCCATCCGATGATGACTCAGCTCTTCTCTTCTTGCCTTTTGGTTTCCGATAGTGTTCTCCATGATGTTTATTTCCTGTTTCATGTTTAATATCTCATTCTCTTTTGCCTGTCAAATTAATAACCCATACAATGACTTTTCTTCCCAAACAATAATTTTGCATATACCCATTTTAGGAGACATAAACTTCATCATGACCAAAGAGGAGCATTGTTCTGATATGTAGGCAGGTCTAAATCCCCTGGACACAGGCAGAGTTAGACTCTCGGCACCTGCTTCCCATACTGGGACATCCTATCATGAGTTGTGTTCGCATTCCCATCTAGGGTCTGGTCATATTGTGTGGTTGGAAGGTAATTTAATGAATACTGGGATTTGAAAAGTTTGAAGATTCTTTTTGAGTGCATGAATTTTGAAGTCTTTTCTACAATTTAACACACTTAGTAGTATATATATTAGAAGCTCAGTATAAAGCAACAGGCAGAATCATTTGTTCTAGAACAATTTTACCCTTAAACTGCAAATACATTGTCTTTTACAATTAATTTGAATTTTTCTTGCTTTTCTTCAAACGCCTCCATTTTATAACAACTGAATTATGTGTTTGTTTTTTCAGGCACTCTGTTGAGTACCAGAAGCACAACAGCTAAACTCAGAAGTGTCAGGCCTCAAGTTTCATATATTCTGTCTGACTGGTTAGAAAGCCTTTCAACAACGGTTTTAAGCAATGAAAATTCAATGGAGATAAAATAGCCTAAAAGAACATAGTGGTAAAGTGTTTCATATCTGTAAAAAGCATTTTTTTATTAGAGGGTATCAAAAATTATATTTTGATGGCCATCTTTCTCAGCAAGTTCTCAAATTTATAACAGAGTTCTATAACTTTAATGACAGCTAATAAAAGCTATAAGTGTTTCATGGGGGTATTTTAGATATTGGATACCCTATTTCAAATTATTTGAAATATTTTTGTACATTTATATTTTAGTCAGTTCTAGACTAGACATCACAAAGTATCTGACTCATTCCCAGAACAGAACAAAATTGTAAAGCTAGTAATAAAATGATACATTCTACAATTGGGATTAACAGGATTTAATGAATTATGAAACATATCCAATAAATACACCAGGACTCACCTCAAATCATGTATTTTATCTTTTCTAAAGTTACCTTTCCCATATAAAGTCACATATTAAGAAACTATTACCCAAAATAAAATATACTACAAAACAACATCAACTTGGAAATTGCAGTATGCTAATCACAACTTCAAGAAGGATATGGCAGTCAGAGCAATGTCCACAAAAGGGACAGCTACAGCAGGATTTGTTGATGTCCAGCTAGCAAGCACTAAGAAAAGTGATCATGTATTTGGCAGACTGAAGTATTGTAGCCACTCTGAAAGATTAAATAATTTGCCTGAAGTCTAGTTAGTAAGCACAATATTCATTTACTTCTGCATAAGGCATGGAAAATTTGGCCCGATCCAATCTAAATGGGCCACTAAACTATCCATTTCCCACTTAGATTCATGCACAGTGGATGATTTTTTGATGTCTTTCCAGGTGCCTTGACAACACGAAATCTGAATAGCAAACAGCATGCTTAGTATTCACTACCCTAAGTTAATAAATTGACACTTTATCAGGGATGGCTGCCTGAAGCATAGCTAGAATCACTCTCTCTAATCTTGATGATTTTTCAACAAAATGAAAAAAAACTTTAAATTTCAAACTTGAAAATAGGAGCTGTGGCAACCCAACCAAGAGTGGAACACTCAAGTGCACTTGCCAGCTGGCCTCTTCCTTCCTAACAAACTCATTACTCATTACTGCGTTCCCACAGAATGTTCAATAGCCTGATGGTCGCCAAAATATGCAGAGAATACAAATGTGTTTTACTTGCTTTATCAGATGTCACCAAACCAACAAAGCTAACTCTCAGGTGGGCTTCAATTATAATCTATCAGAAAAGACTGATACATGACATCAGAAATGACCTTGAATTAAGGTGACCATGTTTTGATATTGAGCTGAAAGACCATCAAGGTATAGAAACAGAACACACATGATTCTTACTTATACGTAGATACACAATATGATTTTCAGTGGGTTCCTGATATAGATATTTAAAAACTGAAAATCAAGCCTGGCGTGGTAGCAGAGTGGCTAAAATCCTTGCCTTGCATGCACCTGGATCACATATATGGGCGCCAGTTCATTTCCTGGATGCTCCCTGCTTATGGCCTGGGAGACAGTCGAGGACAGCTCGAACCCTTGGGACACTGCACCCACGTGGGAGATCCAGAAGAAGCTCCTGGGTGCTGGCTTCGGATTGGCTCAGCTCTGGTCATTGTGGCCACTTGGGGAGTGAGCCAGAGGATGGAAAATCTTTCTTTCTGTGTCACCTTCTCTCTGTAAATCTGACTTTCCAATAAAAATAAAGTTTTTTTAAAACCTCTGAAAATCTTCTTGCATACTCTTAAACATCCCACCTGAGTAATAGTGCTTGCAGGAGTGATGGAGTAGTTGTGGCAGAGCAGTGCTTCTGCTTAGAATAACTAGAAAAGCCAGAGCAGCAGTGACAGCAGCCATTTGAAGGATGCAGATAGCTGCTACAACACAAACTAGAGCGGCTAAGACCCCAGGGTGGGGAAAAATGGAGAGCTCACCATCACCACTTTCCCTCAGGCATTTCCTAAATCAGTGCACTGACAGGAGGCTCAAAACTAGGCTTCCCTGAAAAGGCAGGCAACTCACAGATGATCTTCTAAGCTTAGTGGCAATAACATGGGCTACATGCAGCAATGGATTAAAAATACTAAGAAAAAAAAAGTCTCCATACAGCAGAATGGAGCTTTTTCATTAACCTCTTAAAACAATGATCTGAGTTAGGCACCTGTCAGAGAGAGATTCCGAAGACAAAAATTCTCAGATGAAAACTCAGAGAGCCCAAGGTAAACCGACCTGATTGAGACCTACTTGACCATTTTCTGGTTGCCTTGTCTCCAACCTGCACCTCCTTGGAGAAAGAAGGCTGCTCTTTTCTAAAAGATAGCACCATCTAGGGCCCTCTGCAACTCTTTTTTATAGACAGAAGCCTGGCATGTTATCATATTCACTAGTCCTGCCCAAAGACAGGACTATGTGCCTAAAAATCATGAGAAAACAGACAACAGAAACAGCTCCCTCTCCAAATGCTGAAAAGCACTTTGAACACCTGCCAGTAAGTACGTTTGCAGAAAGTGTAGGAAAGATGCAGAAAAGAGGACAAGGAATTTTATCAGCAGTTAAAAGCTAATGAAGGAAAAGCCAACTGAAAATTTAAGAAGTGAAAAATGGAATTTCTGCATTAAAGTAACAAAGAGGACAGAACAAAAATGCAATTCTGTAAACCTTTCACTTCTCTAATAAAGGTACAAACTGCATAGTCAAGAGATAAAAGATATTCTTAGATAAAAATGTTAAGCAATAGATAGTAGATGACAGAGAAGTTTGTGTTTTAAATGTTCCAATGAAAAATAACTTGACTTTTTTATAGTAAAGCATCAGTGTGATATAAAAACATGAGTAAAATGATTAATAAATTTTACCTGATGCTTAAGAATAGAATTAGCAAAATTAAAAGTGTTTAATATCTGTTGTACTTAAGAATTGCCTTCAAATAGCAAAAGGCTAAGCAAAGAAAATAAAGAAATAGTTATAGGTGGTTAGGATTTAACTCCTCCAAATGAATTCAGGTTCCAGACAGACTAACTGCTTCCCAGGGTACCAAGAAAATTGCAAATACCAGTTACCTTTTATGCTCTACACTTGGTGGAAGGACAGAAAATTAGAAAAAGGATAAAGCTTTTAAATGATTTCTGAAAGGGGAGCAAGGATGGTTACGTAATTTACATATTGGCTAATTTCATGTTGAAAACCAGTGCAATAAACGTATAAAACACTTTGTAAGTATTTTGGAGAGAATGGTTTCATCAGTAGGAGTCAACCTAGCCAAATACACTTATGTAACTGATTGGGGACCAGGTAGGTAGAAATGCCCTGAGCAACTTACTGGTAAAAGCCTCCAATTACAAATTTTGAAAGATTCTGAAGTGGTAGTTGAATTAAATTACTACTGGGAGCATACTTGATTGTTTAAAAAACTGGTTATTCAGTAGATTGCTTCATGCATTGGAATATCAATCTTCCCATTAGGCAGTTTTACTGAAGAATTAATTGCTGCCACAGAGGACCTGCTTTGTCAAATCTACAGAATTAAACCCAGGGGAGCTTAACAAAATATCTAACACAAATTGGTTTAAGAAAATTGAATCATGGGTGAAGACCAACACAACAAAATTAAATGATAATAAATATAAAGATTAACATTGCATGAAAAATGTGACTAGCTGACACACACGTAATATGGGGATACCTGGTTGGAAAGCAGTGGCAATAAAAAGGCAATGTAAGCTTCACTCACTCATTAGCTTAACATGAACTAGCTAGGTGAAAGTATTGCTAAAAGTGCTAACATAACCTGAGACTGGTGCTGTGGCACAGTAAGTCATGACTTTTGACACTAGAATTCCATATTTGACTACTAATTCAAGTTCTAGCTGTTCTATTAATGTGCCTTGGAAAACGTAGGATGATGGCACAAATGCGTGGATCCCTGCCACCCTCATAGGAGACCAGAGCAGTGTTCCAGGCTTCTGGCTTCAGGCTATACTACTCCAGCCATTGCAGATACTTGAGGAATTCATGAAACAGTGGGTGAAAGACCCCCCTTTTTCTTTTTCTCTGTCTCACTCTCCTTCATCCTCCTCTTCCTCTCATACTTTGTATTTAAAATATATATATTTTAAAATTTTGGCTATGTTTTATGAAAGATTTTGATAAACCATGGAAAAATCCTATAATGTGATGAAACAGGATGGAGACAGAAATTAGGCTACCTCATAAAAAAATGGAGATACGTACGTGCTTAGCTACAGAAAAGACTCATACTACACAGAGCAACTCGTTTGAGTACTGGGAGGCAGTGCATGTGTAAGAGAAATCAAATAAATATGTTTTCATGCCCCTGAGTAGCTTGTCAGGACTAGATAAGATGACAGATTTATTTAACAAAAGAACATTTCCAAGGAGACGACATGATTATGTTAGCAAGCTATTCCTCTGTCTACAAGCATTGGCATCCCATATAGGGGCCAGTTCATGTGCTGGCTGCACCACTTCTGAGCTAGCTCTCTGCTTATGGTCTGCAATAGCATGGGAGGATAGCCCAAGGCCGTGGGGCGCTGCACCCACACAGCTGGTCAGAAAGAAGCTCCCTGTAACCAGCTCCCAGCTTCAGATCAGATTGGATCAGATCAGATCAGCTCTGGCAGTTGCTAGCGGATGGAAGATTTCTCCCTCTGTCTATCCCTCCTCCTCTCTAGAAATCCGTTTTCAGCATTGGAAAGGCAGATATACAGAGAGGAGAGACAGAGAGGAAGATCTTCCGTCGATGCAAGTGAGCGCAACGCCGATACTATGCTGGTCCGAAGCCAGGAGCCTCTTCCGGGTCTCCCAAGTGGGTGCAGGTTCCCAAAGCTTTGGGCCGTCCTCGACTGCTTTAGCTCGGGGCCGGGATTAGAACCGGCGCCCATATGGGATCCCGGGCGTGCTAGGCGAGGACCTTTAACCACTTGCGCCACCGCGCCGGGCCCTAGAAATCCGTTTTCAAATTTTAAAAAATCTTTTAAAAATTTCTAGTACCTGGTATTTCCCAATAACAATATGACCAGTTCACTAGGAAGATAATTGAGGTATAACAAAAAAGCAGATTCACCATCTTTTTAAAAAAAAAATCTACAGGATAATTTTGTATGTGTCAGAAGATCTGACAATTTTTGGATATTTTATAGGATATATGTTACAAGTTGTTTTAAACCACTGGAAAGTTTCCAAAGGCCTTGTTGCCTGTTTTCAATTCAGAACTCTTAAGAGGACTTTGAGGACTGTGTAATAACAATTTTGAGTTTGAATTATGCCTGTTCTTTCTTAACAGTGAAATTAGCCTTCATGTTATAAGCCAAAGAGGATGTGACCTGCTAGTTAGCATACAAAAGCTGGCCCTAAGCACTGGGCTAGGTTAAATCAAATTAAAATGAACTTCTTAAGCCAACTACCAATTAATACAGTTGACTTTTGAATTTATAGCTGTGACTTTGATGGTTAATCCTTGCAGAAGCTGTGATTCATTTAAAGTCATTCTCACCATATTTATTAAGTTAAGGAACTCAAGCCCCAGGTCTTGGGTGAAAAAGCTCTTCTTTAAGAATAGCTGCCACTGCTTTTCAGACCAGTTTTTTGCGTTAACATCATCTTCTTCCTTTTGAGGCATTTCAGTCTGATAAAACTCCTTTAGGCTCTGAAACTGTTCCTCCACCTAAACAAATAAAGAAAATGAGAGTTAAAAACACAAAACATTTTTATAGAAAAAACAATACTAAATATCAATAAAAGGTCCATATAAAAGTCACTGAAAAATACATTTTCAGAATTCTCTACATAACTATTGAACACTATCAACTTATTCAAAAGACATAAAAATCTATTTAGATTATTGACAGGATTACCACTGGGTAGTAAACTGAACTGGTAAGTTTATTATCCATAGGAATAATTTATTATTCTGATCATATTTATGTATTACATGCTATAATGTGGAACAATTTATGTTAAAGAACAATAGTTCCATTTAAAGCACAGTTTTATCATTCAAAAGCTACATATGAGGGTACTTCAAAAATTTTATGGAAAATGAGACTCAAAGATATATCTGTGTGTGTAGAAAAACATCTAAAAATTTATGAATGGGGTATTCAAAAAGTCTATGGAAATGTATATTATTGAGAAAACTGCATGGATTTCAAAATTGTTCAATTGTTCATAAATTGCATTACAATTTCAAGCTCAAGAAATGCAATTCATGAAGAAATATAAGTCGATGAAAGACTACTTGCAACGTGCACAACACAATTTATTCCTAATAAAAGATAAATCCAAGTGAGTATAAATACTAATTTTCTTCATAAATATTAAACTGCCCCCATGAGCTTATAATTCTATTTTCTCCCTTTATTTCCAATGCAAGTAGTACTAGATTATTTTAATCCTTGAGGAGAGTTAGTACAATATCAAGTAAGTCAATAAAACTATACATTAATGCATAAATAGGTGACGTAGATATGCTACAAATCATTTGACACAAATGGTTACACAGTTTGGACGTTTTAATGGCTGATGCGGCAAGACTCAGTTCCTAATGGCCAAAAGTACTCTAAACAGACAGACATTGTCAGCAATAATTATCAAACTTCAAAATTTTAATATCCTTCTTTCTAAAATGTATTAATATGAAGAGAACAGATGTCAAGTGTTCCACAGTTACAGTTCTAAGAAGTTCATATCATTCTTAATTTAGATAAGCTTCACGGAGAGTCTGCAAGCCACCTCCCGCAGCAGTTCTCTTCTCATTTCCACATTCCATCTATTCCAGCCTCTGCTGTGCTGATTTTTGGCTTCTCAGAGCCAGGATGAGCCTTCCTCGGTTTCCTTCTCCTGTTTATCCTTCTTGAACTGGCTAAAAACCATCTTCTCCACTGGAACCTCTTAAAATTTCCTAGCAAGAACTAATAATGAGATGACTATTTGTTCTAGTGACTAAAATGCTAGCAAAGATGCCTGGAGTGCCTCGGTTCAGTCTCTGGCTCCTGATTTTTAGCTACCTGCTATGCAGACCCTAGCAGAGGTGATTGCACTACAGTTTGGGCTGCTGTCACTCACGTGGGAGCTTTGCACTGAGTCTCCGGTTTCTAGCTTCTACTTAGCCCAGCTCTTGCTGTGGCAATGAACAGGAATGCATGCTCTCTCTCTCTCTAATAACTAATGAAGTTTTAAGGAATGAAAACAATTTATCACTGATTTCTCTAAGAAATAGTTCTATGAGAAAAACAGCATAAAAATACTATACCACAGTGAATACTATGCACATAGTGCATGGGCACACCATGCAACTACAGATGGAGACAGGAGGGAGGCTTCCCACAGGAAACGATGTGTACCCTGTGGCTTGAAGGCCTGTCCGTGGGAGAGGGAGTGGAGTAGGACTCCAGAGGAACAGGAGCAGCAGTGTAAAGACATTAAGGTGAAAATCTTGGCTGATTCAGGGCACCATAAATGACTCTACTGTGGCTGAAGTGTAGGTTGCACAAGCTGAGTAGTAGCAAAAAAAAAAAAAAAGTTAGGGGGATAATTGTGCAGGATTAAGGCTGGTCAGCAGACTTCACTGTGCTTTTCACTGTAATTAGCATGATTGTGACGCATAGTCATTAGTTGGAAGAGATTGATAGCTCCCATGAGGAGTCAGAAGCAGCATGACAATCATCAGGGCTTCAAAAGGGTCATGTTCCACAGTCTGGATGTCAGTGTGGTGGGCAGGCAGTTATCTGCAAGTCTTTCATCTTAAAAGGAAAATCCATACACTTTAATTCACCTTTCTTTTCCAACTCTTTGAAAAGCTTACTCAAATGCAAATGAGAATGATGCCACTATAAGAATTCATTTGAATCTGGATTACTGTATTCAGAGAATTAAACGTTAATATTTTATTCATTTCTGCTAAAAGTTCCTTGTCATCTGCTTCACTTACTACAAGTATAAAATGATCTGAATTTCAAGAGGTAACATGAAGATTTACATTAAGGTTAGCCCTTTGTTTGCCACACACACACCCACAACAGAATAGTGAAAGGGAGAATTATGAGGCACACAGGCAGAAGATGCTGTAGTAAATGGGGTCAGAAATGACAACCTGCACCAAGAAAGTAATGGCGTAGACACAGAGGAAGGGAAGTTCAGAAGTAGTTCAAGTTTGTTCAATAGACAAAAATAGGAAACCAGAAAGGGAGGGAACTGGTGATCAAAATTCAGCTTTGATGTTTATTTTTATTTATTTTTTTATTTTTTTAAAGGTTTATTTTTATTATTTTTTTATTGGAAAGGCGGACATACAGAGAGGAGAGAGAGAGAGGAAGATCTTCCATCCAATGATTCACTCCCCAAGTGAGCGCAACGGGCCGATACTATGCCGAGCCAAAGCCAGGAGCCTCTTCCGGGTCTCCCAAGTGGGTGCAGGGTCCCAAAGCCTTGGGCCGTCCTCGACTGCCTTCCCGGGCCACGGGCAGGGAGCTGGAAGGGAAGCAGGGCTGCCGGGATAGAACCGGCGCCCATATGGGATCCCGGGCGTGCAAGGCGAGGACCTTTAACCACTTGCGCCACCGTGCCGGGCCCAGCTTTGATGTTTATTAACTACTTGTTCTTATGTACCTACATTTTCAAAGCACCTGTTCTCTCATTTGTAAACTAAGAATACTAGTGCATGAAACAGATATGGAGATTAAATGAAGAATGTGACACTGTGAGCTAAGTCCCAACTTGGGATAGCCACACTTTACATTCACATGTTGGTCCAAGTCGTGGCTCCTCTGCTTCCAGCTCAGTTCTCTAGCAATGCACTTGGGAAGAAGTAAATGATGGCTCAAGTATTTGAGTTCCCGCATTTCTTGTGGAGTTCCACAGAGCATAAGAAAGCCTGGCCAACCAAGGCTGTTTCAAGCATTTGGGAAGTAACCAGAGGGTGGAATCAATCAATCAATCAATTTCTCTCTCTCTCTCTCTCTCTCTCTCTCTCTCTCTCTCTCTCTCCAGCTTTCAAATACATCAACAAAGGCTTTCTGGAGAAAAAATTGCAAAAAACCATTAGATTAAACCAAGAGTGAGAAGTGCTTGTTCTTGACACAGAATAATTGTTCTCTGAGGGGCCGATTTTAAGAGACATTAAAGCATTTTGAAGAACTTCCAAAAAGATGGTGCAGCCACTAACCCAATGGCAAATACAGAAGTAAAAGCATGTCCATTTGAGGAGTAGATGCTACTTGTGTTTTGTTGACTTCATGGAATCTACAGGAGAAACGACTAACTAAAAGCACTGGTTTGCAGCTCGGAGAGTTTGGACTGAGGAATCACGTTTGGGTTTCTGATTAAAATTACAGAAGTGGCATAATTTTTTATCAGGAAAATGTGTAAAATGTACAAAAGAGAGGACACAGATCAGATCTATTCTCTTTGTACTTCTTTGTAATCCAAAAAGAAGAAATCAGGACGCCTGCACTTTAAATACTCAAAAAGAGGCAAACCTATAGACACAGAAGGTAAATGAATGCTTGCCTGAGACTGAAAGTTTGAAGAAATACAGACTCAAAATGTGCACTAAAGATATTTGGGGTATGATGGGCATATGTTAAAATTGGTATTAGAACAGTAGCACAACATAGAATAAATATGCTAAAAATTGTTGCACTATACAGTAGGTAAGTTTTATGCTATGTAAACCACACCTCAATAAATTTGCCTAAAAAAAAATTGGAGTAGATAGTTGGACTAAGTAAAAACTGCAGAAATGGGGCCCAGTATGATAGCCTAGCAGCTAAATCCTTGCCTTGCAATGTGCCAAGATCCCCTGTGGGCATTGGTTGGTGTCCTGGATGCTCCACTTTCCATCCAGCTCTCAGCTTATGGCCTAGGAAAGCAGGATAGAATTTCCCAAAGCTTTGGGACCCTGTGCCCACATGAGAGACCTGAAAGAAGCTCCTGACTTTGGTTTAGCTCAGCTCTGACCATTACAACCATATGGAGAATGAACCAGTAGATGGAGTATCTTTCTCTCTCTCCTCCCTGTATATCTGCTTTCCAGTAAAAAATAAAGCTTTTTTTTTAAAATGCAGAGATTAACCAAGATAAAGACTGAACATTTATCATTGCATTTGTTAATACGCAGATGGCAAAGAAGCCACAAAAAAGGCAAGTCTGAAAAATTAGAGGATAATTGCTGGAGCTAAATTCCACAGGATGTAACAGCAGAAAAACAAGGTGGGACTAATTAATATGTGATTAATGTTGGGTAGGAGTAAGAACTTCACTTCATCAGTCAGGAGGGATGACTTTATCAATCAGTTTGGAGGCAGAAGGAAGTCAAGGCAGTGGTTACATTTTTTTTTCCCAGTTGCGTATGAAGTAAGGGACATTGGCTGAGATTTGGGGATGGAAACTGGGATGAGATGTTTGAGGATAACTAATAAATTGAGCCAATTAGGGAACATATGGGGAACCTAGCTGAAGCAGAGACCATACACAGTAGCAGCACCACTCAGCCCAAGTGTGACGTTCCACAGCAGTGTCTGGAAGCTTGGACAAAGCTGAGTAAACAGAGGGCTGGACTGACTGAATATCAGGAATTGGCAGAATTAGCAGGGGAAAGGCAGGGAGCTGAGAGGATGGAAATGAGAAGCAGCCATCCGGTGCAGGGAAAGAGAATGCTGGAGGGAAGGGACGATGCACAGCTTGGGAGCATCACCACAGTTAGGACAGAAGACTCTGCCAGGCAGGAAGACAGATTTACTGAAAGCATGTTAGCCAAAGGACATGAAGTTCCTCTGAGTGAACAGAGTTTGCCAAGTGGAGGCTGCAGTCCTCGAGGCCAGAGCGGGCCAGTGAAATGGATGCTTAAAGCAGCTCCAAGTGGGCACATACCTGCTAAGTATGTGTGGAAAGCAGGCACTCTGTAGCTTTTCTACATTTCATCTATGGGAGAATTTCAGTGGTTGTAATATCTCTGGAACTATGAAAATTGAAGGCAAGAACTTAAAGGAAGTCAGAAATGCCAAGTGGTCAAGTAAAGAATCACAAAGCAGGCAGTGGTTACCCGGGGTTTCCAGGCATGGGACCTGGGCTTCCTCCACAGTGGTAAGGATTCAGAGTACTCTGATCAGACAGAAGGCATGGTCACAGGCAGGATGGCAACTGTTTGCAGCAAGAGGTCGGTGGGGACTGAGAAATGGAGTTTGATTGCATTATCTAACTTTGGTTAACTTTAATGGTCTTTGCTGACTCTCACTAGGCTAGTACCTGTCTCTCTCACAGGAAAAGGGGTGCCTTTACACAGAGATCTGAGCCCAGGGCTAAATAATGCAGGTCCTGAGAGCTTTACTATTGGTGCCACCTTCAACAAACTGTGACCTTTGAGAGATGGAATCCTCTGGTAGAAATCTGTCCAATAAAACCTCAGAAGTGCTGACAAGTAACTTCGTAAAAGACATCAAACAAGACAGATGATAAACTAGACCTAATAACCTGTAAATTGCAGATCCATATACCTTGTATTTTACTTTTGAAGATTTATTTACTTTTATTGAAAATTCAGATTCACAGAGAGAAGAGACAGAGAGAAAGATCTTCCATCTGCTGATTCACTCCCCAGGTGGCCACAATGGGGTCCCAAGGCTTTGGGGAATCCTCTACTGCTGTCCCAGGTCACAAGTAGAGAGCTGGATGGGAAGTGGGGCAGCCAGGACATGAACTGGTGCCCCTGGTGCATGCAAGGTGAGGACTTTTAGTCACTAGGTGATCATGCTGGGCCCAGATCTCTATATCTTAAATGAACCACATTAGTGGCTTAGGTGTTCAACTCAATTCGTGGTTTACAAAGTCCCTTATCGGGCCCGGCACGGTGGTGCAGTGGTTAAGGTCCTCGCCTTGCACGCCCGAGATCCCATATGGGCGCTGTTCTATTCCCGGCAGCCCCGCTTCCCACCCAGCTCCCTGCCTGTGGCCCGGGAAAGCAGTCGAGGACTGCCCAAAGCTTTGGGACCCTGCACCCGTGTGGGAGACCCGGAAGAGGCTCCTGGCTTCGGACCGGCATAGCATCAGCTGTTGCGCTCACTTGGGGAGTGAATCATTGGACGGAAGATCTTCCTATCTGTCTCTCCTCTGTATATCCGCCTTTCCAATAAAAATAAAATAAATCTTAAAAAAAATAAAGAAAGTCCCTTATCAAATAATCATGTTCTGTGTTTAAGATGTTATAAATATTGGTAGTACATCAAAAGAAATATTCCCATACAAAGCCTTTATTGGTACATGTGTTTATCCACACATACATATTATTATTCATTCTAAGTCTTGAATGAATGTGCTGTAAATGAGTATATTACTAACTCCATATCTAAGCTTACAGTTTCCCCCAAAAGCAAAAAGATATGCAGAGGCCACCTTGTGGAATGTCAACACATACTACTGTACCTCCTTTGATGACTTAAGGAATGTCACATAAGCTTGCAGGAGTTGTGACCTGAAGACAATGCTTTGACTGAATATGTGTAATTCTTCCTTTAGCCAGTTAGCGTTAGAAGAAAGTGAAGCCATTCCATCAAGTTCAAATTCATTTTTGTCTGTCATCATTTTTAAAGCTGTTTCTAATTCATGTGATGTCTCCTATGGAAGCAAAGCACCAGAGGTCAGACTCTGAAAGGATATTCATGAACATTCACATTTCATTACCCTTCCACACCTCCATCTATTAGAACTATTCATTGAACTTGTACTAAGAATTTCCTTAATAAAACAAAGGCATAACTTTCAAAATTCTGAAAAGAGAGGAGTCATTTCAAAATGGAAACCACTAAAATTATTAATTTTTCCCTGCTCTATCAGTTACAATTCTTATTTAGATCATACCATTGTCTCTATTCCAATAGAAGAAAGTTTGAAAAGTTGCATGAAGGAATGTAATTGGCAGGAACATTTGAAATAATTTAAATAATTATAAGAATTGTCTTAGGAAGTTTAACAACAGCTCTAGCAAATTCCTAAAATAATTTTGTTTTACAAGACAAGGTAAACTTACAAAATTTGTTCATCCATTTTTAATTTACAAAAAATTCTGACATAATCATTATGTGGTCTTATTTTAAGTCTCTGCCTGAAATGGTTTCAAAACAGGTGTAAGGAAAAGGTTACCTATCAGGGATAGACAATCTGAAGCTCATTGAATCTGCACTGTTTAAGATTGCTCTCCTTAGTTTTCTTTGGAGTGTAGTATCTGTTAGTAAACTAACCACTGACCATCTGGAGGAGTAGGCGTTACAGACATCTCATAGATGCAGGCCAGCAGCACAGAACAACCTTTTTATTGACTGCATATACAATGGTAGTCCCACAAGATTATAATGGAGCTGAAACATTATTTTTGCCTACTGACATCACAGGCACCCGAATGTCCCATCATCTCAATCTGTAGCACAGCACTTTACCTGTGTGTTGCTCATGATGCTGCTGTAAGCAATTTTTTTGTGTTGTTTGCATATTTATATAGCACACCTAATACTTGATAACAACAAAATGATGACACTGCTGGCTTAATGGATTTGCTCCACCACATCTTGTATCATTGTTTCATTTAGAGTACACTTCTTATGCCTATAGAAAAGGTTGACTACGAAACAGTACACCCTGTTACACTGGGAGAAGCCACATACACCCTGGGTTGACTGTCTACTGACTGCATCAAGAGTATCCACTGATTCATCAGCCACACCCCCATAATCATATAAGTACATGTGGTGTTCACACGATGATCGGACCACCAAGGGATGCATCTAGCGGAGGTAAAAACCACATTGATAAGCAGCAAGCGAGGAGATAATTGCCACGGAAAGGGCTGTGCAAAATTCCATGGGATACAAAGCTAGTAATCAAGCACATACTAAAGAAAAGAAGAGAGCATCTCTCTCTCTCAGTTAAAGATTGGGGGGGGGGGATTACTGCTCTGTGTTTAATATGCTTCCCAGGTGTGTCATGGAGTGAAGCTGCAATTTCAATTTACAAGCCCTGCTGCATGATAGCACTCTGGCAAGGATAGGAGCAGGAGTGGGGGATTTTCCTCCATGCAATCCAATCTCCTCTCCACTTCTAACATTTTAAAAATAAAAAAAGAGAAAGGAAATGGAGTTCAGATATAAGCCTTTAAGAATTTTAAAAGAATGAATTTTTAAAATCTCGTCCTAAATTATGGGCCCTGGATGTCAGTTTTCAGTGGGCATTCTTTGCACAAGAGGTTCTTGCTCTGAGGAACTAGAGGAACAGGACTTTCCTGCCCACCTGGGCAAGAGGGAAAGCCATTTAAAACCTTCTGGAACCCAGCTAGGCCTGGCAGGGGTTGCAGTGCAGGTGTGGAGTTGCTGGCACGAATCTTTACACCTGGGACCTGTGCAAGGGTAGGAAGGAGCTAGAGATTGTGCTCAGTGTGAGGAGGCACACAGGGTGTGCAAGCAAGGCTATATTTTTATTTGCCTTCTAGAATCATGTGATAATAAATTTTGCTTCCGGAGATTTTCTGTTGCAACTTACCCTTGCCAAAAATCACAGTCTTCAAGAAGCATTTGTCTTGGTTCTGGCACCCTAAAAGGGCCTTGCTAACATCCAGGCAAGGAATAGACACCAAAGAGCATTTAATAGATTGAATTGCAATGAGGCTAAATGCCTCAAAGTGTACATATAAATAATTTAGACACACATAATCATGAGTTTGTAACTCATTATTTGTTATGTTCTCATTTGAAAATGTAACCCACAGAGAACTAGGATTAAGGTTTACAGCTATGAAATGTTAAAAATAATTATACTAACAAAATCATAATTATGATAATAATTTCATTTTATTTACCTTAATTTGGCTATTTAGTTCCAGATATTTAGTCAAAATCTTCTCCGATTCAGGAAGGCTAGAGCCAATATCCATTGCATTGGAAAGCACTGGACTAATTTTCTGAATTGACATTTCCACCTTTAAGAAGAAAGAATATGTTACAGTTTTAGTTTATAAGTTTCCATATGTGTATGCATAATGTATATAGAAGGACCATATGTTCCATTATTATTATAGCATTAATTATAACTTCAACTACTTTTAAATATTTTAGAATTTCATATTTTAAAAATGCCCCCTTTTCTTGTGACGTGCTTCACATTTCCTAGTAACAGTCTAGGTTCAATAAAACAGGATACCTGCTAGCACAGGCATCCAATATGGGTACTGGTTAAAATCCCAGCTGCTCCATTTCCACTCTGGTTCCCTGTTAATGGCCTGAGAAAAGAGAGGATGGTGGCCCAAGTCCCTGGGCCTCTGCACCCACATGGGAGACCCAGAAGAAGTCACTGGCCCCCAGCTTCAGCCTGGCCTAGTTCTGGTCATTGTGGCTATGTGGGGGTGGGAGGAGGAGTGAATCAGTGAACAGACAATCTCTCTCTCTCTTCCCTCTTCCTCCTCCCTCCATCTAATTTTGACTTTTGATTAAAATCAATAACTTTTCAAAAAAAAAAAATGGAAACAGTGCAACAGTATAGCACAAACATATGTACAGAAAATACTAACGTATCATTTTTGGGTGTCTGTATTCTATGTAGCCACGGTTCTCATGTGGCATGGCACTTATTAACTAAAATGCCACACAGTTGGGATCACATTTAAGACCTTCAAAATCAAGGATCCTTTCCAATACACACTCGATGCAGTCAACACAAATGGAGAATGGCCTTCTTGAACATGGTATGTGCACAGGCTAGAGTGGGAAGACAGCACTGGCTACCCATTTTTGACAACCAGGAGCAGGGATGGTGGATGAGCTATGGCATATTTCAGCTCTATTTAGCTTGATTATTGGATCTAAGGTGAAATATCAGAGAAGCCTTAGAGAACACATCATCCCACGTAGAAGCACCAAAGCAGATGTTTTCATGTCATTTTATGGAACTACCTTCCTTAGGCAGTCCTCCACCGATGCTGTTAACTGCTGTTTCTTAAGAGCAAGTTCCTTGTGTGCAGAATATTGTTCAGTCAGATGATCCACTCGTCTCTGAATGCATCCCACCATCTCACGGACACCGGCTACCTGAAAGCTGGAGGGAACAAGCCAGCTATTAGTTTGTTTTACCCCAGTGCAAAAGCTCTGGACACGCAGAACATCTGAAAATGGGTCTGTGATTTCATATTACTATGAGTTGGGGAAAGTTATCAGCTTCAGGATAATGGAAGTTAAACAGCCATGTTCCTTGGAGAGCAAAAGCAAATGATGCTTGTTCTAAGTCAGGCAATCCAGAGGGAAAAGATCAGTTATGGATTGCTGCAACCAGGTCTGATCTTCTTTACTAAAGGTTTACTTTTCATATTTCTCCAAGATATTTCAAGAACCTTGTGGCAAAAGGTGCATCGTGTTTGCCAAGTGTTCCTGAGGCAGTTCTTTAAATGTGTCATTTATCTAAAGACGCTCTTCAACTGGAAATGCGGATCAGCCAATTAACAAACATTTAATAATCAACGTGGTAAAATATTTATATAATGCTAAATTCCTTGTTCATGGTAATCACAAATGCTTAAGGCTATATTCATTAGATGAAAAGCATTACTACCAACAATTAGGAATTAAATAAACCTGTTCCTGCCCCCCAAAAAGGCGGGGGGTGGGAGGGAAGGAAACCAAGCCTGACATAATCATTTCTGATTGTGCTGGCCTCATGAGAAAAAGAAAAGTGGCATGAAAAACTCACCAAATGAAAAACCTTTAAAACAGCGAGTGAACACTGCACTGGACCCCTGCTTCCCTAGGCAAAAGGGATCTTGGCAAGTTTCCCAACCTGTACCAGGTTAGGCACACTGGAATGCAAAACCACAAGAGGATATTGTTGATGCAATTAGCACTTTTAAACTGTTCTGCTTGCCCTAAGGTCAGAACCTAGCTTCTTATTTAGGTATTTGAAGTGTTTAATTCCCCATCAATCATTTGCTTCAAACACTAATAGAGATTAACAATGATAATGCTTATATTTAATTAACCAGATAGATTTTTTTTTTAAGTTTTTGGGATGCTGTATAGATTTCAGTAATTTTTTCTGTCAAATAATTAATTTATGACTTTGTAAAAATGAATTAGTTATGAAATGAGGGCAAGACACTGAATGACTGAGAAACAGCCAAAGCTCCATGGAATGACAATGAGAGTCTTGAAGAGGAGCAGCCCTAGTGGATGTGTCCTGTGGGTGCCATAGGAGTCCCAGACAAATTTAATTTTGAGAAAATACATAATCTGTAAGAGAAAACTTACCCTTGGCACATAGTAATCCAAAGATATAGAACTTGACACACTTAGTTTTGCATGTTAATATTCAAAAACCTTGAAAAATATAATTACAACATTGAGAGATTTTAGGAATAATTCTTAAAGATATTTAACTCCATAAATTCTGTAAGAGCTATGCCTTGCTGATACTAACCATATTTTGACTGGGTTTTAGACTTTGAGATATCATATGCTAAACAAAGTACAGGAAACCCCAGAGACCCTGTGCTCTACAGGTTCCAAGGTTTCTGAAGACTTGGAAGGAGGGAGATCAAGACACTACATGGTAGTGTGGAATGAAGGACCAGAGAACAAAGTTTGTGAAAGGAAATGAGTAAACATTAGGAAAGAAATATAGCTTCAAATGGCAGACATCACTATTAAAGCAAAAAGAATAAGGAAATGCTTGATACAATTCAGAGAGGGCAAAGGAAATTTGATACAAAAATAGTCATCAATCAAGAGGAAAAATGTTTGCTTTTTGTGGTTCCATCTGGAAGTCCCTCAGCATGTATTGCCTCAGAGGTCCGAGTTACTAACCAAGCCTAGAAGAGGGGTGTCTTTGGCACCAAGACGATGTTACTAAGAGAGGAGCACACAGTTTAAATAGGTTGCATTGGGTCCAGCCAAGCTTCTTAGTTCCTGTTCACATCACTTGTTACTGTTTGGCCACCTACAAAGATTATGGCTGCCAGACAGCTCTAGTTGTAAGTGCTACCCATGATGATTCAGATGCCAGAATTCATGATCTCTGACTGTGACCCAACCTTGTTCTGACATTTCCAGACCCTGCAAAGATACCAGTTGATTCCCTATGTTTGTCTTACTTATGGTGCCGTATCCCAGCTGTCACATTGAGTCCAGCCTCCTCTTAGAATAAGCATCTTACTTGTTAAGTGCATGGCAGGCGTTATGTCATTCAATCGTTAAAATACTTTTACGATGTATCAAAAAGGTATCAATGACTCCAATTTTCAGTCAATGAAAATGAAGCTTCACAAGTGAGCTAAGCTGCCCTGGGCACACACAAGGTGAGTAACAAAGATCTCCTTTAAAATCAGGTCTCTTTGATGTGCAAATATTTATGCATATCAGAGCTAATACTTTTTATTGAAGTACGAATTAGTTTAAATCCTGAAATTTAGGAAAATATAGGCTGTATTGGCTGAGTTTTTACTGTAAAATTCTGTAACTAAACCTAGTAAAAATAATTACTGAACTCTTAATATGTTCAGTTACCATTGTTATTGTTGGAAGGAATAAATCTTGCTGTCACAATAGCCTGAGTTGTGTCCCCATTTTGCAGATGAGCAGAATGAGGAAAACAGATGCTCACTGACTTGCCCATCTGTGAAATGGCTGAGCCAATATTTGAATCTGTTTATCTGATCTCTAAGTTCACACTCTTTATTACCTTATGGTCCTTTTCTTTTGGGTCTGTTATGCATGGCATGGGGCTAAAGGAATATCTTGCTCTAATAAAGTGAGTTTTATTGTCTATCACAGAAACAGGGATGGCCTGACTGACATGCTTTCCTGAATGTGCAGGGAATGCTATGCCTGTCTGTAATTTGCAAAGTAGCCACTAGATGGGCATGATGTCTTGTTCAGAGTACACGTACTGAAGTTTCTTTCAGACCAGAAAAGCAAAAAAGGGAAAACAAAACCAAAGCAAGTGTTCCTTCTGTAAAGATATCCTTCCTCTTCCTCTCTCTCTTTCTCTCTCTCTCTCTCTCTCTCTCTCTCTCACACACACACACACACACACACACACACACACACCTACCTTTCAATGATCTAGGGGGAACTATATTTTATTTTGTGGTGATTTCTGTTTTATAATATATACCTATTGCATTGCAAATTCTTCAAAGAAAAATGATGGATAGTGTCATTTCATTCTTACATAATGTCCCTTGCATCTCAGAGCACATAATAGAAGACCAGTGCGGTTTCAAAGCCAATAAAAATATACTCTACTTAATATTAAAAGGTAAGGAAGATACAATTTCAGCATTGAGAAAAACATACATGTAGTTACCCTACTAAAAATGTCACTAATGAGGCCTGTATTGTGACACACTCAACTAATCTACCACCTGCAACAGCAGCATTCTTCTTGGGAGATTGGTTTGAATCCTGGCTATTCTACTTCCCACCCAGTTCCCTACTAACATGGCTGGGAGGGCAACAGAGCCAGGTGTAAGTGGTTGGGGCCTTGCCACTCAATGTGGGAAACCCAGATGGCACTCCAGGATCCTGGTATTGGCCTGACCCAGACACTGGCCATTTCAAAAATGAGCCAGCAGGTGAAAGATTTCCATCATCCTACCTTTGAAATAAGTGCATTTTGAAATGTCAATATTAACAATTTCTAATCGTTTTTTTATTGATGATTTTGTATTTTGGCCACTCACACAGTTTAAGCTATTCAAAGGTTTCCTCCTTTCTTCTTTGGTAGCCTTTGGCATAAGTGGCTACATTCAGTCAGGCTTATCATGGGTAGTTTAGTTCAAGTGATGCACTCTTCCTCTATTTAAACTTTTAGAGGGACAGCCTGAAAATTGCCTGGTTCTGCTCTGCAGCATTGTCTGACCAGTGTGCATTCAACTGTCATTGTTAGATCTTTAATTTGTACTAGCAGTTCTCCATCATATTGCTTACCCAGCAGTTCCCATCTCAATCTCTGCGTCTCCTCAACTAGGTCCTCTAACTGGATAGAAATTATTCCCAAACAGAATATTGCTTGCACTCTCCTAGCCCTAGACCTGCATCTATTCTATTCTCCCTTTTCTATTCCTCCTCCTAAAGCACTAATTGGTAGGTCACAATCAGCCAGTCAAATCTTGTTGCCTTATTTTCAGGCAAAACATGAAATGACAATGCTAAACTTATCTTTTGACTATTCCAAAACACTTTAAAAACAAGGATTGTGGGCATTTCTTTAGTGCCTACACATAAGTGGTTTGATCAAAAAAAAAAAAAGGTACAACTCAATTCTTTGCTGAAAATCCTTACATAAACAAAATAAATTAATAGAATCCTATTGACCATCTAGGAACACATGATACTGTGAATACTTCACCGTCACATTAAATTGATGAGGTGCCTAACAGAGACTTGGTTGAATCAAAATCATCTTGCTCTAGTCCTAAAGCAGCACTGCTTGTGTGTGGCCAGCTGGGTGGCAGAAGCGCTCTCGTGGATGGAGTTCTGGCTCTAACCATCTGTGTGTTTACTTACAGAGAAATCCTGATGGACCTTTGGGCTTTCTCTGTAAGAAAGGTTTAGATGGCACTGTCTGTCATGTGAACACAAGGTCATCAGATTTTAGCCTGACGTTGTCATTGACTTTTTTGAGCCTCACAGATAGTAGAGACAGAACGTGAAAGTGGTTTCAGACTTTTGTTAGAAACCACGCATTGAGACGATTTTAACTATTGATCTACTGGGCAGCAAAAGGGGGAAAGAAAAATAATTGTTTTCTCAAAAGGTAGAGACATTTTCACTTTTGGCTCAAGAAAAGGCTGCCACAGTTACTGTGGGGAAGCAGAGCTTGATCTGTGCATCTGTCACGAGCTGGGGCAGGGGAGGGGAGCAAATCCCAGTGTTAACATGTTCTAATGATTCCTTCCAGAGAGTGGCAAGTTGCTTTAAAAACCTCTCATAAATTACTATTGGCAGCCCATCTGGATTAGGAGCTGAACCAGATGGTAAGCATTTGACAGTTTACTCTGTCTCATCAGAAGGGATCAGCTGACCAGAATTTTCTTTTTGTCTGTGGACAAATTACACTTCAAACTTGAGGGGGAATCTTCCTTTAGATTGCTGCTCCTTTTAACAGGAACCTGAACAATGTATCTGCTCATGTCTGCAGCTGATTTTATTTTGGAAGAAACAACCACTCCTCTCTAATATTCATCTCTACTTTGAACAAAATGCCATTTGTAGAACTGAAATGCATGTTTTTGCCATTGTATTTTCTGATTTATGGTATCTACTTTGAGAATCTCTCACAACCAACCTCCTCCACCTCTCCTCCTCTCATTTTCTACCTTATCTCTCTTACACACACACACACACACACACACACAATTTCCAAAAGTTTGCTGAAATAGAAGTAAATGATATCTTTATTTTGGCGCTCAATGATAAAGGCTTGCTGATTTAATGAGATGGGAATGTACTACTTTGAGAATCACAGAGCACTAACTACTGGGATGATTCAGGCAGAGACTTCAGATATAATACTCTTCTCACAGTGTACATTTTCCAAGTACTTCATGAAGCAACCTTTTTAAAAAAAGATTTATTTTTTAATTGGAAGGCAGATTTTTACACAAAAAGGAGGAAATATATATACAGAGAGAAGAAGCTCTTCCATCTGCTATTTCACTCCCCCAAATGGTCACAATGGCCAAAACTAAGTTAATTTGAAGCTGGGCAGAAGGAATTTTTTCCTGGTGTTCCACATGGTTACAAGAACCCAAGGCCTTGGGCCATCTTCTGCTGCTTTCCAAGGCCATAGCAGAGAGCTGGATTGGAAGTAGAACCACCAGAACACAAATTGGCACTCATTTGGGATGCCAGTATTTTGCAGGCAGAGTAATAGCCTGCTACATGACCATATCCACTCCTATGAAGCCATCTTATAAAAGGGAGCCAGAGGGCCTGGTGTGATAGCCTATTGGCTAAGGTCCTCGCCTTGCATGCACTGACATCCCATATAGGTGCAAGCTTGTGTCCTGGTGGTCCCACTTCCCATCCAGCTCCCTGCTTGTGGCCTGCGAAACCAGTGGAGGACAGCCCAAAGCCTTGGGACCCTGCACCCACATGGGAGGCCTAGAAGAGGCTCCTGGCTTCAAATCAGCTCAGCTCTGGCCATTGCAGCCACTTGGAGAGTGAATCAGTGGACAGAAGATCTTTGTCTGTCTTTTCTCTTCTCTGTATATCTGCCTTTCCAATAAAAATAAATAAACGACAAGTAAAGGAGCCAGTGTTGTGTGTATTAAGCCACTACCTGTAATGTCAGCATCCCATATGGGCACTGGTTGGGGAACCAGCTGCTCCACTTCTGATCCAGCTCCCTGCTAATATACCTGAGAAAGGAGCAGAGAATGGTCCAGCTTTATTCACACGGAGACTCCGATGAATCTCTTGGCTCCTGGCTTCTGTGTGGCCGATGTCTGAATATTGTGGCCATTTGGGCAGTAAACCAGCAATGAAAGATCTGTCTCTCTCTCGCTTTCTCATTCATGCTTTCTTCTCTGAGCCCCCAACACAACTGCCTTTCAAACCAAATAAATAAATATTTTAAAACAACAAATAATCACTATAAGTAGGGACACTGCTCAAACTTCCAATGTAATTGATTCCAGAACAGAAAAACAGTGTAAACTATTGCCTAACCAGGTAGAACTTACAGCCCTATTGGGCCATATTGGGTCAGGTAGTATTACAATAAAACTGTCTAGCTTACTGAGAAGCCTTATCTCAGACAAATTTGAACTTTCAAGATTCCATTTTTTCACCTAGTAGAAAATAAAATCAGAAGAGAGCCAGTTGGGACTTTCAGAGGTTGAAGGGTAAATTGAAGCCAAACTAAAGAAACTTAGTAGCCACAAACGTCCTTGTTTAATTTTAAGTCCAAGGGTAAAAGAATCATGTGCACTTCTCAAGGCCTCAACTTTTTGGCTCTGACCAGATGATCTTGGATTATTTCTGATCTTGGCTTTTGCCTGGTTTCCCAGCAACCATCACATGCCTAGATTAACCATTTCTGTCTGGATTCAGACAGTCTTAAGGAGAGAAAACTGCGCAGTTAGCACATCAACATCTAAAACAGAGCAGAGCAACAGCTCAGATACATGATAAATTTGCCATTTCATATGCATTTCATTGAAATCAATGTCTGTTTTTCAGGAGATTCTTGAGATGGAAAATGAAAATCTAGGATTGAGTAACTTATGCTAGTCTTCTTTTGGTGTTATTTGTCAGGGTATGACCTCTGCCTTCATTTCTTCCTATCCATCACCTGTTCATGGGCTCATCCATTATCCCTTTGTGATGTTGCATTTGCTCGTTTCTTCCACACTTTTCTATGTTTTGCTTCTGTCTCTCAAGATCCTTATTCCTCCTACTACCCACATTCTAAGCTCACACTCTTATATTCACTGAATTTATTAAAATAAAATAAAAATTTAAAAGTGACCCACCCATCGCATTGCTAAGACAACATTCAATTTGGGATTTTGATTCAGTCTAGCTAATTGAATCTGATCCTGCAAGTGTGTCTGCAAGTTATTTAACCTCTCTGAGTCTTGAAAGGAGGCCATTATACTGTGCCTTAAATGCAGATGTCAAAAACCATCAGGCCCAGTTTCCCAATCATCCTCCCTTAAAATGCCCATGCCTGACTGTGTGAGAGCAAATCACTTGCACACTAAAACTAACTGACTTGACAGGGAGGCACAGATCCTCATCAGCAGGTTCAGGAGGTTATTTGCTTCTGCAAAAGGGAACACCTTTATGGGCGGTATTATCTTGAGAGGTTTCTTTTCAGTAAATTTCAGGTCTGGGTCAAAATATAACTGTCCTCTGCATGCAGCCCACAAACTAACTAAAGCTCACTCAGTCATCAACAAAATTCCCTAAATTATGTAATACTGATGACCAGTCAAATCAAGGATATGAACACTGCCCAACAACAAGGAGCCTGCAGGGATGGTGGTGTTCACCAAGTCCCCTTGTCTTGAGGCTCCTATATTTCTTTGCTTCTGCGGCAACATAGAACATGGTAATTGGCAGACCCAGAACAGCCATAGTCCTGCTGCACAACTGTTTTCCTTCCCAGCCATTTTGGTCAGTAGGCCCACATAAGTAATTATGGAGCACGGTTGGATGTGGAAGTAGGTGTATGTGGGTATATGTGGATGTGGATAGATGTGGACGATGGATGCTTACATATGTCTGGGGGGGTGTGGCTGATTGCTTCCACAGACACAAAGGCAACACCACTAGTGGCGTGACTACCCTCACAGGCTAGTGATTATTTTTTATGCCACTATTATTTCTCATTGCCACTAATGCTACAAAAGATTCTAAGTTATTTTCTCGCCTGTTGGAATCTCAATCTGCTAGTCCAAGAACCAAGTTCTGGGCTCACACCTGGACATAAATTGAACATCCACCTCTCACTCCAGCTTCAACCCATCAGAACATTCACACCAATAACTAGAGGAGCCCATGAATTAGGGAACACCTTCGTGGCACCTTGCTCTGTGCATTGTAACAAATACTTCCTTTTTTCTACCACCCCAATGTCAGTGATTGGTTTTGAGCATGTCAGGCAACAGGTTCTAGTTTCGTAGATTCTGTAGCAAACCCTTGAACCAATTTTGGGGATTGCTCTACATCAGTCTTGGTAACTTTAACTGTTAAAGGAAAACATTCTATCATGTTCCCTGTGGCCTTGTTGTGAGGATTAACGAGATAAAGTTTCCAAAGTTCTTAACAGGGTACCCAGCATGCACATGGCAGTTCTGAATAGAAGTGAGTACTTGTTACTAATAACATCATCCTTTACTTGGGATTTTGTTTGATGAGGTTATGATTGAAAGGGAATTTTAGCACTTCTTTTCTAACAGAAAGGAAAAAGGGACAGGAAAAACCTAAGGCTTATGACCTAAAAGGAAAACATCCCCCTGAAGCTGCTAGGACAGAATAGGCTCTGCTTTCTACTTTGTCCGTTCTCTCTTCCCTGGGCAGAAACAGGGGAGAGAAAGCTTTAACCTCCCCAAGTCCTCTTGCTCAGAATCAGGCCTCACATTTAAATGAGCAATACTGTATTCTGAATCATTGCTGACCAAAATTCAACACTTTTTTTCCAAGATACATCTAAATGTGGCAAAACATCGTTAAGTGTGGAAAACTGGGGGAAGGGGATAAGATGGGCAAGGCAGCAGGAATCATGCGACTTATTTTTTACGACTGTGGAAATTGCAAAAACCTGGTACATTTGGGAAGAAACAGACTTGACTTACCTGCAAGAGTCCACTTGGCTGATTAAGGCTTGTCCCTTTTGCAAAGCATCAGCCGTGCAGGCTTTAATTTCTTGGTGTAATTCCTCATGCTTTGCTGCCAAGATAGGCAGACTTAAACCCTCTGCTTTAAGGAGCTTAAGGTAAGCTTCAACTCTTCCAAGTACATCAAATGCCTGGCAAAGAAAACATACTTTCATTTTCTGCTTTTCTGGTTTAAAATCTACATTCATGTGTGTGTGAAACACTAACCATTAAACCAGGTCATTCAATTTATGGGTTTGATCCTAACAAAATACAACCATCTTAGTCTTGGAAAACAGCTGGAGAGTGTTAAGTCTCCATTCAAGGAAATGGATCAGAGCTTAGTTCAGCATCAATAGCCATCAACACCACGAAATTACCAAAATAGTTTTACATTCAGAGTGTATCTATGCACACAGTTGCAACTACAGAATTTGATTAATTTTCACATTATGCATTGTATACAAATAATGCTTGAACCATTTAAAAAAATAGTATGCAGCCTTTCACAATCTGAATATCTAAAAAATTCCTGAAAAGAAGATTCCCAATTCTCATTTGAACCTGAGAGACCCAAGAAATAGGGAAATATTTAAGAAATTACTTGTATACCCTCCATTTCTTTTCAAATAAATGCCTACTCCAGTGAAGGTGTCCATATGTCTACAAAGGATATTAGAATTTGGTTCTGAAGCAGTACAAAGATTAAAACCAAAGTAATCTTTAGTTTCTGGTATGCAAAATAGGATTATGCAGAAGCCTCACAGCCTTGCAAATCAAAATGTTGTCTTGAGAGAGCATTTTTAAATTATTTTATTTTCTTTCTTTAATAGCAGATCAACAACCCAGGCTGGGGGATTAGGCTTACAGAATCAACTGTGTAGAGAAGAGTTCTTAATTTGGCCATGAAGGCTTGCTTGGCATGAAGATGGATGAGTATCACATACACATATATATGTGTGTGTATATCATATGTGATATGGTGTGAGAAACAGTGAGAGAGAAAGCAGAGAGCAGGGGGTCTATACTGTCCCTGATGGTCTATTTCAGAATTTGGGTCTAGGGAGCAGATGAGTTAGGTAAGTCAAAGCCAAACTGAGCTCTTCCATGTGACACTTCAACACCATCAGAAGAAGCCCTCTCTCATGCTCCATCACAGGAAGCTGGGTAGTGTGCATAGTCAGGCAAGGGACTCAACATCTTCCTGGATTGCTGAGTTACAAGTCCATAGCCTTGGCAGCAAACCCTCAGAATGGGAAGGGTAGGAAAACTCCAGAGCAGATTTGGAGGATGATCCCAGGACATGAGAAACAAGAACAGATGGACTTCCGGGTGCTGTCTTGCCAAAAGCTGAGGAAGGCCCAAGGGACCTGCTGAGCTGAGGGAAAACCTGCAGCAGCCAAGGGCCAGGTTGCAGGTGTGAAAGTGTGTGATGCACACACCCCTGCCCCTGACTGTCATTCTAGGAAATGAGTCTCATCCCAGAATTAGAACTAAACAAAACTGGAATTTACAGATGAATTCTCTCAAACACTATCATTACTTACAAGTTGATGCTGTGTTCTCTTCCCAAGGCTCTCGTATCTCTGTAGTCTGCTCTGTCAACATTCAAAATAACACCCATTCCATTTATTTAGCAGCTGAAATGAATAGCCGCAGTCTGATGAAAACTGATTATGTGCATGCTTCTCTACTCGGTTGCACATTACTTTTTCATTTAGTCAACAAATATTGAATACCTACTGGGTTCCAGACACAGTTCCCAGCAGTGTGAAGGAGATAGAAATTATTGCTAATATATGATCAACTAGGAAAAAATAAATCTCACAGAGGTTTAATGCATGAGGTAACATGAACTGCTAAGTGGTAAATTTTGGAATTAAACACAAATCATATTCCCTATATACAAATTCTGACGAATGGTGTCACGTGTGAAAGGATTACTATGGGAAGCTTAAGGATGAACGGATATGCAGTAGGCTTTTGGCACACTGCTTAAGCTGCCCTTTGGAGGCTCATGTTCCATACAGGCAAGCCTGAGTTCAAGGATCTGTATATGCTGAGGCATAAGGAAATGGCTCACCAGCAACTTCTTGCTGATGCATATGCTGAAGCATAGGAAAATGGCTCAAGTACTTGTGTCCCTGGCACCACTGTGAGTCATCCAAATGGAGTTTTCAATGCCTAGCCTCAGTCTGACTTACCCTGACTACCAGAGGCATTTGGAGGAGTAAAAGGCAGATGTGATAACTCTTCCTCACTTTCAAATAAATGCGTGAATAGATAACCATAAGGAATGGAAGAAGGGCCATTTCAGAGAAGCCTCCAATCTTGCAAGGAAAAGATGAGATAATACATACGCTCTTACACATGAACTATGTAATGGAGAACTCGCATATTGAGAAGTGAAGATATATTGCAGCATGTATCTCTACTCCTGAATGAAAACAGGACTTGCTAAACATTGCTAAATATACCTTGACAATAGGATACTAGTATTCCACCATTGCCAATAGCTACAATGTCATGATACACTTAAATAGCAGAATGTTGGACTTGTGACTGTTGCTGAAGAACTATACTACTGTAATAACATGGGGGAAGGACAATGGGAAAAAAGGATGGGAATGTTGAGGGGGTAATCCCTATACCTACAAACCATATCGTGGAAAATAATAACAATAAAAACACAAAGATGAGGCTTTTTTTCCAAGCTTACATCTGTAAATAAGTATTAGCCTTTACTTCTCATAGGTGGGAAAGGATTCAGGGAAAGACAGAAATTTTCCTAATCTGTAGGACAGCAAAAGAGAGAAGCATTCCTTCATTTAAAAAATGCTGAAGCCTCCCTTATCTGATCCTGTCTCTTTTCTGCAGTGGGCACTGGAGCCAAATGCAACAAGATGCTGATCTTAGAAAAGAAGGTGACTGGTCACAGTCTCAGTCCTTCCATAATTCATTGGAATATCACTTGGCAATAACCCCTGTGTCTGGAAGCTTGTTTTCTATTCAAATACTAAATTACATTGAACTTTCTTAACTGACTTTTAAAAGTTTACATGTTTGAATCACCCCTTATAGTAACACACAGCTACACTGAGGATTGAGAACCCCCGGACTCCTTTTTAAATGAAGAAACAAAGGGGAACTCTATATGTAAATGTCAGGGACTTTCCCCTTAACAGAATGTAAATCCCTAGAATGAAAAAGGAAAAGAATGACAAATCCTAAAGCAATTTTTTTGACTTAAAAAAAAACACACCCATCTATTCACTAGAAAAGCAGATTTAAAAGAAGAGAAAAAGGAAGAGGAGGGAGAGGGAAGCCTTGCATTCATTTGTTCATTCTTCCTCAAAAGCCACAATGTCCAGGTCTGAACCAGGTAAAGGCAGAAGTCAGGAACTTACCTGGGTCTCCCATTTAGATGGCAGGCCCACAAGTACTTCTTCCTGCTCACCCAGGCTCATTGGTAGGGAATAGGATAGGAAGTGTAGCAGCTGGGACTCTCCCATATAGGATCATTCCCGTATGGGTCAACTCCCATATGGGATGCCAGTTGAATCACAATGCTGGCACCCAAAGTACCTTTTCTTGCCCATAAGTTTAATTCCATTCTGTGTTAGTAACTTAATTTATGCCATGTTTGCTGCTGTCTCGAGAATTGAAGGAGGAAAATATATGAATGTAATTTGGCAGGATGGCAGACATGTAATAAACAGGGCTGTTATTCCGTTTCATAATTAATCAAAAACATCTTCAAATGTCACTGAGAAGAACACAGCCACCCACTGCCTTTCCTCTGTCCACGGGGCCTTTTCTTCTTGTGACCCCACTGAACACATGCCCATCATGTGCTTGGTGCTGAATTTGTCCTCATCAGCATTACTTGTAAATGCCACAAGGGCATTAAATGTGTGTGTGTGATATCACACTCCCTTGTTTATGAATGCTAACATAAAAAATGGATTTCCTAATATAGTAGAAATAGGAACTGAACAGTTAGTAAATGAAGATAACAATAATTCATAACTTAAAATAGCGAAATTTAAATCCACAGCTTCCCCTCAAGAAAGATCAAGATGTTAATAAAACAACTACCTGAAAGTTGCTAAATGTTTCACACTTGCCATGATTAAAGATCAATATAAATCATCCTGAGCCATGCAGCAAACAATGCAGACACACTTAGAAAGCTATAAACATTCACCTGTTCCTGGCTTCTCTGTCCATATTTCATTACTGCTAGACCTCATCTCTCCCAGAACTCTTGAAAGTACACAAATTAGAAATACAAAGCATCTTGGCATATGCATCTTTACTAACTGGCCCAAGCAGTAAACAGAGGGTGAGGAATACAAACATACAGGGGCTGAGTTCAGGGGCTCCATGTCTTTGGAGTCTGTGCATGGGAAGCCAGAGAGCAAGCAGATACTGGGAAGGCGGAGAGAGCTGAGGTGCTCAGGTCCCATATGCAAATTTCAGTTTGGGTCCTGGCTTTGGTTCCCAATTACAGCTTCCTCCCAGCATGGACCTTGAGAGGCAGCAGTGATGGTTCAAGCAATTGGGTCCCTGCCTCTCATGGGAGACCAGAAATGAGATCCTGACTTCCAGGGAGTAGCCTACAGCCCCGACTATAGGGAACAACTGGGGAGTACCAGCAGATGGGAGCTTAGCTGCTCTCTCTTGCAAGCACATCCTCCTTGTTTCTCTATTTCACTGCCTCTCAAAAAGCAAAAGTAAGGCAGCAGGAAGGAGGTGAGGTCATTCTTTCCTTAGCTCAACAAATGGACCAGGAATGTTAAGAGAGCTCAAGACAGCATATCCCGTACTGTTAGTCTAACACTAATGGTAATTGCTTGGAGAATACACACATCAGCATTAAACCTCTGGACCTTTAGAGAAAGACTATCTAGAAGTTTCTACAGTTTGTGATTACTGGAGGCACAAGCAAAGCCAACTTCTCTCATTCCCATGCAGAATTTGATGAGGAATCCATGTGTCATTTCTAGAAATGAGCAAAGTATCATTGCCCTCACTTAATTCATCCACAAGATAACAGAGAGGGCTTTCTATTCACCGTGTCCATAAGGAATCTGGTCTAGTGGATCTGGACTGGAAAAAGTTTCTTTATTGCACACATAGTACAGGGCAG